CTGTCAAGACAGCGGTGTTGGCGAATCTGTTGGGTTTGTTTTTGCTATTTGTACTTGTGCAACACTGCCAATGCAGTAGCGGCAAATACATCGTTTAACAAATGTGTCGTGTGATTCTATTCCTTTCTTGTGTATGGCCATTCGTTCAGGAGCTATGTGCCAACATCGTGGTCTGCTAGGCACGAGAAGGTTTGAGGAGTTCGTGTTGTTTCGCCACTCTGACGGTGACATCCACAATCGCAGTGGCTTTAAGTTTACATTTCTGCAGGACATGTGTACATCGGTCTGCTGATGTTCTGATACGCTCGATGATTCACCAGAATCTCCGAGGAGGAATGTCAAAGACAGAAGGTGCAATGAATGCTTCGTTTTCGAATGAGGTGTTTATTCTGTACGCCAACGTTGTTTTGCGTTGCCATCGTCAACGTGTTGTGTCATTGTTCCAAACATTCAGGGGACTGTTGAATATGCAGCAGTGTGGGCTCCGAAGCATATTCTCAAAAGCAGCTAGAAGATTTGAATTCTAATGAAAAAAAACTGCACTTAATTTTGTTTTGTTCGGACTCAGAAGTCTGCAGTAGGTGGTAGAGTCAGCTAGGAGGCTCAGTCGGTGGCTCCACGTGTGATGGTGAGTAGTGGAGTCATTACTGGGGTGGTCTGTAGGTGGCTCTACGTGTGATGGTGAGTAGTGGAGTCATTACTGGGATGGTCTGTAGGGGGCTCCACGTGTTGTGGGTGGGTGGTGGAGTCATTACTGGGAGGCTCTGTAGGTGGCTCCACGTGTTGTGGGTGGGTGGTGAAGTCATTACTGGGAGGCTCTGTAGGGGTCTCCACGTGTGATGGTGAGTGATGGAGTCATTACTGGGAGGCTCTGTAGATGTCTCCACGTGTGGTGGTGAGTGGTGGAGTGATTACTGGGATGGTCTGTAGGGGGCTCCACGTGTGATGGTGAGTGGTGGAGTGATTACTGGGATGGTCTGTAGGTGTCTCCACGTGTGATGGTGGGTGGTGGAGTCATTACTGGGATGGTCTGTAGGTGTCTCCACGTGTGGTGGTGAGTAGTGGAGTCGTTACTGGGATGGTCTGTAGGGGGCTCCACGTGTGATGGTGAGTAGTAGAGTCATTACTGGGATGGTCTGTAGGTGTCTCTACGTGTGATGGTGAGTGGTGGAGTCATTACTGGGATGGTCTGTAGGTGTCTCCACGTGTGATGGTAGGTGATGGAGTCATTACTGGGATGGTCTGTAGGGGGCTCCACGTGTGATGGTGAGTAGTAGAGTCTTTACTTTGATGGTCTGTAGGTGGCTCCACGTGTGATGGTGGGTGGTGGAGTCATTACTGGGATGGTCTGTAGGGGGCTCCACGTGTGATGGTGGGTGGTGGAGTCATTACTGGGAGGCTCTGTAGGGGGCTCCACGTGTGATGGTGAGTGGTGGAGTGATTACTGGGATGGTCTGTAGGGGCTCCACGTGTGATGGTGGGTGGTGGAGTCATTACTGGGATGGTCTGTAGGGCTCCACGTGTGATGGTGAGTGGTGGAGTCATTACTGGGATGGTCTGTAGGGGGCTCCACGTGTGTGGGTGGTGGAGTCATTACTGGGAGGCTCTGTAGGGGGCTCCACGTGTGATGGTGAGTGGTGGAGTGATTACTGGGATGGTCTGTAGGTGGCTCTACGTGTGATGGGTAGGTGATGGAGTGATTACTGGGATGGTCTGTAGGTGGCTCTACGTGTCATGGTGAGTGATGGAGTCATTACTGGGATGGTCTGTAGAGGGCTCTACGTGTGATGGGTAGGTGATGGAGTGATTACTGGGATGGTCTGTAGGTGGCTCTACGTGTCATGGTGAGTGATGGAGTCATTACTGGGATGGTCTGTAGAGGGCTCCACGTGTGATGGTGAGTGGTGGAGTCATTATTGGGATGGTCTGTAGGGGGCTCCACGTGTGATGGTGAATGGTGGAGTGATTACTGGGTTGGTCTGTAGAGGGCTCCACGTGTGATGGTGAGTGGTGGAGTCATTACTGGGATGGTCTGTAGAGGGCTCCACGTGTGATGGTGGGTGGTGGAGTGATTACGTGGAGGCTCTGTAGGTGTCTCCACGTGTGTGCCCAGAGCCAAATGGAACCCAGCATTCGGGATTCGCGTCATAGCGGGTCAGAGGTAAGAGTCCCAAACGCATCGCCACCTCTCACACAACGCAACACACACCAATGGTAACCATTGCAACCTCTTTCGCGTGTCAAGATGAATACGAGTCCAATTAATCCGGTGAAAGTTAAATTTCGACTTAAAGCCTTCGTGACTGCAGGGATTCATCTTCTTGGTTCTTTCGGTAAAGTCACGTAGAAGGGAAGTAATAAAATAATAAAAATAAAACATAATAAAATAATTCTCACGACGTTTCGGCCACAACGCAAGCAGCCGTCCTCAGGTGAAGACCAGGTCTGTCGGGGAGACAGATTCAGACGCTGTCACCTGAGGACGGCTGCTTGCGTTGTGGCCGAAACGTCGTGAGAATTATTTTATTATGTTTTATTTTTATTTTTTTATTATTTCTCTTCTACCGGTGAAAGTTGTAACGCCAGTGGGCGGAGTCGGGCGGGGGTGGGCGGAGTCTGGTGGGGGTGGGCGGAGTCGGGCGGGGGTGGGCGGAGTCTGGTGGGGGTGGGCGGCGTCTGGTGGGGTGGGGTGGGGTGGGCGGAGTCGGACGGGGTGGGCTGAGTCGGGCGCGGGTGGGCGGAGTCGGGCGCGGGTGGGCGGAGTCTGACGGGGGTGGGCGGTGTCTGGTGGGGTGGGGTGGGCGGAGTCGGGCGGGGGTGGGCGGAGTCTGGTGGGGGTGGGCGGAGTCTGGTGGGGTGGGCGGAGTCTGGTGGGGTGGGCGGAGTCGGGCGGGGTGGGTGGAGTCTGGTGGGGTGGGCGGAGTCTGGTGGGGGTGGGCGGAGCCTGGTGGGGGTGGGCGGAGTCGGGCGGGGTGGGCGGAGTCTGACGGGGTGGGCGGAGTCGGGCGGGGGTGGGCGGAGTCGGGCGGGGGTGGGCGGAGTCGGGCGGGGTGGGTGGAGTCTGGCGGGGGTGGGCGGAGCCTGGTGGGGGTGGGCGGAGTCGGGCGGGGTGGGTGGAGTCTGGTGGGGTGGGCGGAGTCGGGCGGGGGTGGGCGGAGTCGGGCGGGGGTGGGCGGAGTCGGGCGGGAATGGGTGGAGTCTGGCGGGGGTGGGCGGAGTCTGGCGAGGTGGGCGGAGTCTGGTGGGGTGGGCGGAGTCGGGCGGCGGTGGGCGGAGTCGGGTGGGCGGAGTCTGGTGGGGTGGGCGGAGTCTGGCGGGGTGGGTGGAGTCTGGCGGGGGTGGGCGGAGTCTAGCGGGGGTGGGCGGAGTCTGGTGGGGGTGGGCGGAGTCTGGTGGGGTGGGCGGAGTCTGGTGGGGTGGGCGGAGTCTGGTGGGGTGGGCGGAGTCTGGTGGGGTGGGCGGAGTCGGGCGGGGTGGGTGGAGTCTGGTGGGGTGGGCGGAGTCGGGCGGGGGTGGGCGGAGTCGGGCGGGGGTGGGCGGAGTCGGGCGGGGTGGGTGGAGTCTGGCGGGGGTGGGCGGAGTCTGGCGAGGTGGGCGGAGTCTGGTGGGGGTGGGCGGAGTCTGGTGGGGTGGGCGGAGTCTGGTGGGGTGGGCGGAGTCTGGTGGGGTGGGCGGAGTCGGGCGGGGTGGGCGGAGTCTGGTGGGGTGGGCGGAGTCGGGCGGGGGTGGGCGGAGTCGGGCGGGGGTGGGCGGAGTCGGGCGGGGTGGGTGGAGTCTGGCGGGGGTGGGCGGAGTCTGGCGAGGTGGGCGGAGTCTGGTGGGGTGGGCGGAGTCGGGCGGCGGTGGGCGGAGTCGGGTGGGGTGGGCGGAGTCTGGTGGGGTGGGCGGAGTCTGGCGGGGTGGGTGGAGTCTGGCGGGGGTGGGCGGAGTCTAGCGGGGGTGGGCGGAGTCTGGTGGGGGTGGGCGGAGTCTGGTGGGGTGGGCGGAGTCTGGTGGGGTGGGCGGAGTCTGGTGGGGTGGGCGGAGTCTGGTGGGGTGGGCGGAGTCTGTGGGGTGGGCGGAGTCTGGTGGGGTGGGCGGAGTCTGGTGGGGTGGGCGGAGTCGGGTGGGGTGGGCGGAGTCGGGGGGGTGGGCGGAGTCTGGTGGGGTGGGCGGAGTCGGGTGGGGGTGGGCGGAGTCTGGTGGGGTGGGCAGAGTCGGGTGGGGGTGGGCGGAGTCGGGGGGGTGGGTGGAGTCGGGGGGGTGGGTGGAGTCGGGGGGGTGGGCGGAGTCGGGTGGGGTGGGCGGAGTCTGGTGGGGTGGGCGGAGTCGGGTGGGGTGGGCGGAGTCTGGTGGGGTGGGCGGAGTCGGGTGGGGGTGGGCGGAGTCGGGTGGGGGTGGGCGGAGTCGGGTGGGGGTGGGCGGAGTCGGGGGGGTGGGCGGAGTCGGGGGGGTGGGCGGAGTCGGGTGGGGTGGGCGGAGTCTGGTGGGGTGGGCGGAGTCTGGTGGGGTGGGCGGAGTCTGTGGGGGTGGGCGGAGTCGGGTGGGGTGGGCGGAGTCTGGTGGGGTGGGCGGAGTCGGGTGGGGGTGGGCGGAGTCGGGTGGGGGTGGGCGGAGTCGGGCGGGGTGGGCGGAGTCTGGTGGAGTGGGCGGAGTCGGGTGGGGGTGGGCGGAGTCTAGTGGGGTGGGCGGAATCGGGTTGGGGTGGGCGGAGTCGGGGGGGTGGGCGGAGTCTGGTGGGGTGGGCGGAGTCTGTGGGGGTGGGCGGAGTCTGGTGGGGGGGTGGGCGGAGTCTGGTGGGGTGGGCGGAGTCGGGGGGGGTGGGCGGAGTCGGGGGGGGTGGGCGGAGTCGGGGGGGTGGGCGGAGTCGGGGGGTGGGCGGAGTCTAGTGGGGTGGGCGGAGTCGGGTTGGGGTGGGCGGAGTCGGGGGGGTGGGCGGAGTCGGGTTGGGGTGGGCGGAGTCGGGGGGGTGGGCGGAGTCTGGTGGGGTGGGCGGAGTCTCTGGGGGTGGGCAGGTCACTTCCTCGTGTCACTCCTCCCACTGCCACCGCCACTTGGTGTATGCAGTAGCGGCGACTTGGTCAATTTGTGCTGCGCGTCAAGTGTTCGCCAACGTGCCAAGTCCGACGATTATGGCAGCGGCGAGAAGAGACGCGAAGGTCGTCATCGTCGGCTGCGGCATCGCCGGCATCGCCGCGGCCGAGAAGTTGCTGAGATTCGGCTTCTCGGACCTCATCATCGTTGAGGCCACGGGTCGTGCCGGAGGCCGCATTCACAGCACCAACTTTGGTAACAAAGTTGGTTGACGTGCACCCCCCCACCCCCCCCACACACACACGTATGATGTATTCTTTGGTTCTTTCGGTTAAGTCACGTCTAAAGATAAAATAATAAATTAAAATAAAGCATATTACGACGTTTCGATTGCAACACAAGCAATCATCGTCAGGTAAAAAAAAGCAACAAAAATCTAACTAGAAAACTATAGACAGACATACAAGCAGACAGCTGCTTGTATGCTTGTATGTCTGTCTATAGTTTTCTAGTTAGATTTTTGTTGCTTTTTCTTTCTTTTTTACCTGATGATGATTGCTTGTGTTGCAATCGAAACGTCGTAATATGCTTTTATTTTAATTTATTATTTTATCTTTAGACGTGACTTAACCGAAAGAACCAAATAATAATTCCTGCAGTCACGAAAGCTCCATAATTAAGACGTATGATGTATATATTCTCTATGAGATCTCTTTTAGCAGTGGCAAAATATAGTAATAGGTTTTTACCCTTTTAAACTGGTACAAAACTGACACCTTTATTCAAGGCATCATGTTTGCAATGGCCACAACACAAGTAGTCAAAAAAGCAAACAAAAAGAAGCAACTCTGATGATAATAATATGCACTGTCCTTGAAGTTGATTGTTGAATCAACTTCAAGGACAGTGCATATTATTATCATTATCAGAGTTGCTTCTTTTTAAATCATTTATATTAAGTTCAATTTCTTGCTTGCTTGCTTACGACCGTGCAAATCTTTCGGTCGTTTTTTAACCCACTTCCCGTGATCCAATCGAGCTGACATTTTGCACACAGACTCGTTGTGCGAGACAATTAATGTTCGTGAAAAGAAATTTCCAAAATTTCACACTGTTTAGGGAAAACAAATTAAATATTTAATTACCAATTGCTTAATACTGGCAGACAATCATCTGACCCATAGGTGGCAGCCATCTCAAGCCAGAGGACGAGAGGACTCTAGCCGCCACGCATATAAAGGATTTATAGGGAAAAACTTTGTTTTTACGGGTTATACTTATTGTTGACTACTTGTGTTGTGGTCATAGCAAACATGATGCCTTGAATAAAGGTGTCAGTTTTGTACCAGTTTAAAAGGGTAAAAACCTACTACTACGATGTATATATTCTTTCGGTGAAGTCACATAGGTAGAAAAATAAAATAAACAATATATTACGACGTCTTCAGGTGGAAACAATAATCCAGCAGTTGAACTGCTGAACCAGGAAGAACACAGCATAATGCCCTGTTGACATACTGCTCATTGGTCATCTATTTTAAACTACAAATTCAACGAAACTTTTATTTAAAACATTTTTTACACCAGGTAAGACCCACAGAGCTTTACAATACTATATAGCTTCTTTTTGCAGAAGCGACCTGATCATACAATGACAGCTTTAACCAAGTGGCTTATTGTGTGTGGACATTTATAACAAGTGGCTAAATACTCTGATGATGTGTCTCAATGTGGAGGCGTGGGGGGGGGAGAGAAACAAACCGAGAGGACCTGGAGAAAAATCCACGCGACCACGGGGAGAGAGAGACACGCCAACTTCAAATATACAGCAGGGTCGGCATCAAACCCACGACCTCCTGTATACCAGGCGAGGTAGTCAATACTCTTAGGTTTTTTTCGGTAAAGTCACGTAGGTAAAATTTAATAAAATAAGAATAATGAAAATAAATAATTATTATTTTATTATTGAAAATAAAGTAATAATAAAAGAAAATAAATCATTTATTATTTGTTTATTATTAAAAATAATAAAATAATAAATGAAAATATCTCATGTATTATTAGTTTATTATTAAAAATATTATATAATAATAAATGGAAATAAATCATTTGTTATTATTTTATAAATTTTTACCTACGTGACTTTACCGAAAAAAACCTAAGAGTATGAATCCTTGCAGTCACGAAAGCTTCAAATCTAGAGGTAGTCAATTTTTCGCCGCCGTTACTTATAGGACCAGTATTGTAATGGTTAAAAAAATCGGTCAAATGTGCATTAAGGGGGAAAACATGCTTAAGTGGAGGCGTTAATTGGTGGGAGGTACTGCGGTGTAGTAATTCTAACTCGCAATTAGAACCAATTAAACTGGATTTCTCCCAATCTCAGTTGATCGGGTTTAATATAAAATACAATTAAACCCGATTGTAACAAAACCGACTGTGCCACCCTTGGGGAAATAAAGCTGTGGTCTCGTGCTAACTTGTTAGCGTCTGACCCACCTGCCCACCCACCCCCCTCCAATTCTGTTGCCCCGAAGTTACAGAAGTTTTTGCAAATTTGTCCTCGCCACACACCGGATTATAAGACGCACCGCACCCGACTTTGGATTAAAAATACAGGTGGAGGTGCGCCTTATTGTCTGGAGTATACGTCTCAAAATTCGAAGAATTCTACCTTAAAGTGTTGTGTGTTATGTGTTCATGAGTTAAATTTTTATTTAAAGCTTTCGTGACTGCAGGGATTCATATTCTTGGTTCTTTCGGTAAAGTCACGTAGAAGGGAAATAATAAAGTAATTAAAATATAAAACAATAACATTCTCACGACGTTTCGACTGCAACACAAGCAATCGTCATCAGGTGTGAAAAAGAATTATGGCTGTGTTTTTCACACATGATGATGATTTCTTGTGTTGCAGTCGAAACGTCGTAAGAATGTTATTGTTTTATATTTTATTATTTTATTGTTTTATATTTTTATTATTTTATTGTTTACCTTCTACGCGACTTTACCGAAAGAACCAAGAATACGTTCATGAGTTGTTTTTGTTACCGTGTATGGACAATGCATTATCTAATTTTATACAATGTTTTAAAATGAGTTGTTCTGAAAGCAGTTGGATTGACTTTTGAATATATCCCCAAGCTTGATAGAGCATACGTTACATTTGTCACGCTGTCAATCACAAACTTTCATCAAGACTGCCCCCAAAATTAACATTGCCATTAATTTCTCTACACATACTGTGGGATAAACGTTTATATAGTACCTGCACACGTACATTAATTGTAAAAGTATTAGATACAAGTAATGATGTCCGATATTTTTATCAATTGTTTTGTGTGTATGGACGTTATATGATGACATTTTAGTGATTGATTGAACAATTTATCTTAAGATATTTTTCATCAGTGCAATTAATTCGTAAAGTGTTACTCTTTAGATGAGGAAAATAACTATGACATTGCACTGAGCCGATGGAAAGAAATATACATTTATGTTTGTTTTTGATATCGGCATAATATAGAGATACTGGCAAATCTTTAAAGCTAAGCAGGTTTGAGCAACTATAATTGCTTGGATGAATGTCCACCATGGGTGACAAGTTGTTTTAGGCTGCTGGACAACACAGCAGAGAATAATGCAGCAACACATTCCTGCGGAGGGAGCTGGTAGGAACGTTGGGTTGCTCGGTCAATGGCCTGCAGGGTCAACTGCGGCGTGGTGTATTCCGCAAATATGCCCGACTGTGAGGGCGGGCACAAGCCGACGTGAGTAGGTTAAACGTTGAGTTTTATAAGGGCCCCCACTGGGTGACCAGCCCCTCCTCACCCAGCCCCACCCCTCCCACCCCCCACCCAGCCCCACCCTCCCTACCCTCCCCACCCAGCCCCTCCCCACCATCCCCACCCAGCCCCACCCTCCCCACCCAGCCCCTCCCCACCCAGCCCCTCCCTGTACGACGGACGGACACAATAATCCCCTGTGGGCTGGTGTAACCAGCGGGTTTCTACCAGTAAAATCCACTATAGTATATACAATGTACAGTACTACGACATTCATATATACTGCACGCATCTATGAACTTCGCCTTGACCAACACTAAGTGACCAGCGGATTGACAAAGTGGCCGTGCATTTACCAAACTGATTTAATGAATGTGAATAATCAGGAAGCGATCTGTACATGTTCAGTAATGTGCACTTGGAATTCTAAATCATGGGTCCAATACTGCACTCCTTGTGTGCACACACAAGTGTGAGGAAGCTTTCATACAAAAGTCTAAATTATAATGATTAAGGTCAAATATCAATTACGTGCACGGTAATGTTCATCCATCTCTTCCCTCTGTTCCAGGCCCAGTATTGGCCTGGGGTTAACCTCTTTCCTGCCTAGACCCCAGGTGTAGTATCTCTTTAGACGTTGGTATTTTGCGTGCCCCTTTTTTATTCTCATTTTCTCTGTTTGGAAATATTGTACTGTGTTAACAGAGTAGCTAACTGTATGCTTATAAATTCAAATGGAATGTGCACCAATGCATTCAACTCCATCTTTTCAAGGTTGATCATAACGTACCGTACAAACAGTACCGATGGTGTTTGAATATAAAGTGAGTTACATACATTGAAAGTTATTTCCTCAATGATCTAAATCAGCATACACGAATGCAAATACTGTACTTTAAAATCAAATCCAAGTAGATTTTTAAATAAGGTAGAGTTTTCTGTCTTGATTTAAAGTTTTCGTGACTGCAGGAATCCATTCTCTTTGGTTCTTTCGGTAAAGTCACGTAGTGTGAAATGTGGTTGGCTGTATGCCAGTTCAAATGCATTGAAATGTCCTCTTGCACTTGTGTACCAAGTTCACTGATTTAGTGCATCAATAATCTAATCTCTCTCCAAAGGTTAGGAGCAGTTCCCCAGGTCTCACAACACATTGGTTGCAGATAACATTTTTTAATTGCCTCTTGTGATGCAGTGGGTGAACTGTTGGTTGTTTGTAAGTTACAACATGCAGCCAAATATGTCTACAATAATCCCAGTAAAGATAGATGAGGCTGAGTAAAACATTTACTAATTTAAATAATTGCTTGACATCTGAGCATCTGTTTCACAAACCTGCATGTATTGCCATTTCCAAAGCGGAATATTAACACGCACAGGCACAAAGGGTTTTTGAGAATACAGTGCATTCATGAAGGTCTTGGTCTGTCTTTGGCACAGTTCAATTTGATAAATTAAGGAAATTCAACAAATACTATATGACCATGCCTCAGACCAAATCGCCTGGAATGCACCCAATTTCACCAGATCTCGTAATCTTCTTGGTTCTTTCGGTAAAGTCACGTAGAAGGGAAGTAATAAAATAATAAAAATAAAACATAATAAAATTATTCTCACGACGTTTCGGCCACAACGCAAGCAGCCGTCCTCAGGTGAAAACCAGGTCCGTCGAGGCGACAGAGTCTGAATGAAACAGCACACGAGCTTGGAGCATATATATAAGCTGGGCGCCTTGACAAAGGAATTTGCATATCAATATGAATTTAGCATATTTATGGGAAATGCAGGAATGTGATTAGTACTACATATGCATGTGCATTATGCAGGATTAACAGCATCAAAGGGAGCTGCAGTTGCTGCAGCAGCAGCAGAAACTGGAGCAGCAGCAGAAACTGCAGCTCCCTTTGATGCTGTTAATCCTGCATAATGCACATGCATATGTAGTACTAATCACATTCCTGCATTTCCCATAAATACGCTAAATTCCTCTTGATATGCAAATTCCTTTGTCAAGGCGCCCAGCTTATATATATGCTCCAAGCTCGTGTGCTGTTTCATTCAGACTCTGTCGCCTCGACGGACCTGGTTTTCACCTGAGGACGGCTGCTTGCGTTGTGGCCGAAACGTTGTGAGAATAATTTATTATGTTTTATTTTTATTATTTTATTACTTCCCTTCTACGTGACTTTACCGAAAGAACCAAGAAGATGAATCCCTGCAGTCACGAAGGCTTTAAATCAGATATCGTAAGTTAAGTAAGGTTGACCCTAGTACTTCGACAAGAGACGACCATGCCTTACAGATGCTATAGGCTGCTGAGCTACTTTGTGTGAAGAAGAGGACAGTACAGACCAATTTATTGTTGTACTATACCTCAGTGGAACTTCAATGATTCCCATCTGCATCAACACAAATACCAGTGTGGTGAAGTATGGTCAAATAACTCCCATGATCCACATGAAATGGAGATGCCATCATCCAGCAATGGATGGAAAAAAGGCGTGAACTTGCAAAACCATACCTTCAGCACATTTGCTAAATATACTTCTAGTGTTTGCCAGTTTAACAGAAAATGTTCAAAGTCCAGGTTATGCCCATATTATCACTTGGATGTGATATGTAACAGTGGTGTACAAACAAGTAGTGTTGAATACTAACAGCTCGTTGTTATTTGCATGTGCAGGCAAAGGCATTTTTGAGATCGGTGCAAACTGGATTCATGGTCCCTGCATGGAAAATGCTGTATTCCGTGTGGCCAAGAACCATGGACTTCTGGACCAGAATGCCCTGCTGGAAGAGAATCAGCTCGTGGTGGTTGAGGGAAGGCCTCCACCTGGCGAGAGCGAGTATCGCCTTCCAGGGGGTCAGCAACTCGATGAGAAGATGATTGAGAGCTGCGAATCCCTTTACGCTGAAATCCTGCAACGCAGCAAGGCTTTTTTCCAGAGCGGAGAGCCTCTCCCCAAAGGCATTAAAAGCATAGGGGGTTTTGTAAAAGCAGAGGTAGGGTATATACCACATATATATGTGAATGACACAAATGCATTTTAAGAGTTGTAATATCAAAAGTGGGCCTAGGCATGCACACACAGTAATGTATTTTTCAATAAAACATTTCTCTGCTCACTCACTTTAATGCATTTTATCATAAGCCATTATTGTATCCACTGCTGAATGTGGGCCTCCCTACGCCATTATGATTATTCACAGTTAAGGCTACTATTTTGGCAAAGAGGTCAAGGAAATAGTGCATTTTATAAAGTCTGTGAAATATTGGAAATGGCTGTAGAAACACGTTAAATTTGCATGGCCTATATTGATGGTATGTCCTGACCAAGCTCACTTTCCATTAAACATTATTCTCTAGACAGGTGCTTCGAAATAAGTGTTTATCTCACTTTGTTTACTTAAAAAATGTCAGTACCTGTTGGATCACCCTGAAGAACATTTGTATGTGTTTGTTACGTTGCAGCTCGTTGAAGCATTGAAGAACGAACCGCCAGAGGAGCGAGCCATCAAGTTGGCAGTGATGAGCGAGAAGCTAAAGTTGGAGTGCGGTATCACGGGTTCGCACAGCATGGACGACGTGGACCTGCGGGCGTTCGGAGAGTACCATGTCCTCCCAGGCCTTGACTGCACATTGCCAAGGTTATTTCATTGCATGTGTAATTCAGTATTGCTTGTATTAATTTTAAGTTGGCCTACCCAGTCTGTCGGTGCTGGGGGTTGTTTGACCATGCTTTACGCTGGTTAGTAGGTCAGTGTGGTTTGGTGGAGGAGGGGACATAACAGAATTGCTGATTAATATATCTTGAAAATAATACATCGAATTTTTTAAATCCATTATCGGATGAAACCCTGCCCACACCATGTCAGTTGTGAAGGGTCCAAGTTGGTTTCAGATATCACTCGCCACAGGGCTGTGGCCGGAAATAAAACTCGAATCGCAGAGTTCATATAACGGTATATGCCACTGATACTCCTAAATCTCAAAGTAAGCAACATCAGAAATAGAACTTACGATAAAACGTGTAAGAATTTTCTACATTTCAGTTAATTATTACCACCAATTATTTGCACACATTTATTGCTAAACAAATGTATTATTTTCATGAGGTCTTGCTTTATTACGTGGGTAGTTATGGTGATGATCCTAATTTGCATTGTGGTTATTATTGGCAGGGGTTACCAGTCACTGACAGACAAAATGATGAACATGGTGCCTCTGGGATGCATCATGTTAAATACACCTGTGGTCTGCATTCACTGGCAACTGGAGCCCCAGAAGACGGACGGGAATACAAGACATCACTCGGTCTGCGTAGAGTGCGAGGGGGGAGACAAGCTGTACGCCGATCACGTACTAGTCACCATACCTCTAGGTAATTGACACAAGAAAATGTCACCTGTACATTGTAGAGCTGGGACAATTAATCGATTAAGTCCACTGATCGACCTAATTTAATTTATTACGTCTTTAAAATTCGCGCCACGCCACATTCTGCCTCCCGAAGGCAGGAAACCCCCTCCAAGCCACAGCGAGCGTGAGTATGTTTTCCCCCCAACTATTTTCACGTGATCCTATTTGTCGATTTATCGAACCGATAAGAGTAGTCAATTATTTAGAAAATCAGATATGTCGGCTTGAATAAAATGCAATGCAACTGTTGAGTTAAAAAATTAACACGTAAAAACAAAGTTTTTCACTATAAATCCTTTATATGCGTGGCATCGGGGCGGCTAGAGTCCTCTCGTCCTCTGGCTTGAGATGGCTGCCACCTATGGGTCAGATGATTGTCTGCCACCATTAAGCAATTGGTAATTAAATATTGAATTTTATTTCCCTAAACAGTGTAAATTTTAGGAATTTTTTTTTCTCGAAAATTAATTGTCACACACAACGAGTCTGTGTGCAAAATGTCAGCTCGATTGGATCACGGGAAGTGGGTTAAAAAACGACCGAAAGATAATATAAAGGATTTAAAAAAGACACTAGCTTAAACATACCCAATTAGATGGATGCACATTCTTCACATACTTGCATAGTGGGTTCTAACCAGGCGCACACCAAGTCTTGGAGGCAACACTTTTATTTACTGACACAACTTGAACCACTAACACAACCAACAACTACTCAACGTTCCAAGGTTAACTATGTACATTCCGGGCAACTATGTACTACGTAAGGTGGTAGCCACCATTCCTAACCACCTAACCACTTGAACGGAATCACTATATGGTTGAACCAGAACAGCCGACACGCCGTCGGGTCGTCGTGTGCAGAGACCGAAGAGCGAGGATCGAAGAAGGCGGCTTCATTCCCAGGTCGAACAGCCCCGCTCCCTCTCGGGACTTTGCGGAGGCTCTGGGTCCAAATCACGTGGCCCGCTCACCCCCTTCTGGGGGTCCCCGTGCCCCCTCGTCCGGTCACGTGCTCTCGCGGGTCACGCAGACTGTCATGTCCTGACCCAACCTCCGTGACATCCGGAACCTGCTCTTTAGTGAGCCTCTAGGTGTAGTACACCCACTGGGGCCATAGAACGGCTCATTTATGTCACTACACTTGTAATAAAACCACACACGCTATCTAAATGAACATTTTCCTCGTGTTGGTACGATTTATTAAATCGGGTAAATAAAAACATGTAAACGATTAATTGGCATTCATTTTGAAATGGTCGATACCAGGAATCAGGTCTCTAGAATGTGGGAAATGGCTCACCACCCTGGCTTCATCAGCAGCAGCCAAGGTCAATCCACTGCTGGATAAAAAGCTACCTAAACCACCACCATTTCTTGTGCTACTGTGATGCAACAGTCCACCTATCACCTGCACACTAGCTAATTTCACCCCGACTCAAGGCACGTAAAACACACTTTGAACGTTGTGTGCAGTTAAATATTTAAAGCAAACGACATGCAGATTATATGACTCGCTTTCATTAAATTAGTCAAAGCAATAATCGATGTTTTAAGTCAACAGTTGCAATTCTTGTTTTTCTATTGCAGGCTACCTAAAGAAACACCACACCATGCTCTTCAAACCGCAACTTCCTGCTGAGAAAGTCAGAGCTGTTCAGAAACTTGGCTTTTGTACCAACAATAAGATCTTCATGGAATTCGAGAAGCCCTTCTGGAATCCCAGCTGCAAGTTGATTGAGCTGGTGTGGCCAGATGAGTCGCCTTTCAAGAAGAGGAAGGAAGCCTTTCGGGCCGAGTGGCAGCGCAAGATATTTGGCATTCAAGTTCTGCATCCGCCTGAGAGGTCGGTGCCCATTCAGAGGCGATTGAAATTGTTTCATGACAGCTGTTTATGCAGTCTTCTAAATGTGGCACGTTTCAATTTGTGAAGTTCACTTAATTAGACGTGTTTTCCTGGGCAGGTATTTTACTCGTTGCAACAGAAGGCCATCTTCTTTAGCTCCAGCTCAGAAACCTTTTCTTGTCTTCCTTTCGCAACCCAACTACCTCGTGACATTAAAAACTGGGTTTTTTTCAGCATGTGCTACTCTGATGGCACCGTGATGCCAAAATTGCTTCTCTTTTTATAGGTTTGGTCACGTTCTGTGTGGATGGATTGCTGGCAAGGAGTCAGAGTTCATGGAAACCTTAACGGAATCTGAAGTGAGGCAGAGGATGCTTGAATTGCTGAGGAACTTCACAGGTGACTGACGTTTACAATCGCACCATCTGAAATGTTTCCATGGACGAGCTCCGATGTGACGTATAAAGTTGACACGATATATGACCCCTTTGGTTATTCACCGACAGGCAATCCCAATATCCCAGCTCCCAAGAGGATGCTGATTTCAAGATGGAACAGTCACCCTTACACACTGGGCTCATACTCCTACACAGCCCTTGGTTCCTCCGGTGACGACATTGAGAACCTGTCGCAACCTCTGCCCTCCAGTCAGCAGCGCGGTGTACAGGTATAGCACGTGTTCTTTAATTCAGAAGCCTTACCGCACATTACAGTTCAGGGATTTGGCTTTGGAATAGCACCAAATCACTCTCAATGCATTCGATCTCAGCAGGGCTTGAAAGCTAAGCTGGGTTGGGAAGCCTGGCTAGTGCTTTGGTGGGAGACTGCCTATGTGTTGTGAGCTGTGAGAGGTGGCTCAGAAATGGCAGAACAGCATGTTTCTTGATTAAATGTGGGGCTTTGAGTCTCACTCCCTCATGCATGGGTTTTCCTGCTGTCACAAACCAAACACTAATTGATGGGATTGTTGAAATATCCCAATGCATGACCCTCCTGAGAAAATAATCTTGAGACTTTGTGAGACTTTCCTAATGGATAAAATGAAGAGCATTATATTATCATACAAATATTGCTTTAAAATGGTCATGCTTATCTGGCAAAAAGGCAGCAATATCAACATACAAAACATGTGAAAATTGAAACCTTCACTATGCTTAACACTGAATTTGGTCATTGTAAGACGATTAACCATAACATTATTCACATGTTGATATGTGAATAGTTGGTGTTTTGAGATATTTAGCTTTTTTTCACCAGTCATACAGCATAAGATAATTGTGGAAAAAGATAACACGAAAATTATTTGCATTTTTTACTCCTTTTTTATTTTTCCTTTTACCACCATAGATCATTCATTTACCGTGCTTCTGTTTCACCGAGCTTTCGTAACGACAAAGCAACGCGTTTTGTGCACAATAAATGTACGACACTTATCTGCTTTCTTCTACGTCTCTGCAGCCGCTGCAGGTGATATTCGCTGGGGAAGCAACGCATCGGCAGTTTTACTCCACCACGCATGGTGCCCTGGAGAGCGGCTGGCGAGAAGCTGATCGACTAATCAAACACTACAGCACCAGCAACAGCAGGCACTTGTCGAATTCGAAACTGTGAGATTTCCTACGCGAAGGTTTTACGCTGAAATATTAAAACCCCAGGCAGCGTAAACAAACGTTGTGCATTTTCGGGTTGTGCCGTGCGTTGTTTGGCATTATCCGAAAACGCATCGGAGTGCTGTACAGCATAGATGTGGAAACCTATGCAGTGAGGGTAAAAACTAAAATGCTAATCTCGAAGTGTTTTCGATTTTTATAACAAAAAGGATATTCTACAAAATCTTTCCACATGTTTTTGAGAGATTGAAATAGTAATTGAAATAGTAGAAACTGTAGTGTGATTAAAACTCTCCATTACCTCCGTTGTCATTTGCAAGCAAGCAATGGAAATGTTGAAATAAACACAGGTTGAATACGCAAATATTATTGCATGCATACCCATATGGATTCAGTTTCCCATTGCAAATAAATGCATAATATAGGTAAACAAAAGACTGTAGTACACTATGGGCTTCATGTTACACTTTGCCTATGTCATGTCAATCCACTGCTGGATGAACGCCTCCCATACCTGCCGCCATCTCCCGCGATCAATGTGTCGTGGCATAGAATAATGGCGTAGCGGCATAGCGCTGGCTGCTAGCAGAGAAGGGGATCTGCGGCTTACGGCAGCCCTGACGTCAGCAGGCCACGTGACACACCAGAGGGGGATCTAGGGGAAAGGTCACAGAAGGGGCGCACCAAGAACCCGCTGGTAGGTTCTAGAAAGGGGGCGTGGCCAGGGGCGCCAGGCCATGCTGACAGTAAAAGAAGGGCCCCTGTAAGGGACCTCGGGGCTGTTGTGTGGAGTGGGATCCCCGTGGTGCTGCTGAAGTCTTTGTCACCGTTCTTCTCGTCGTCTTCACCATCCTTGTCGTCATCGTCTCCATCTTCACCAACTCGGGGCGTCACCAGTCAGGCAGCCTACCAACTGTAACTGAGTAACGTCGCCGACAATAGACGGACGAATTATAAAGTGTTAACTCCGATGGTGCTTGTTAATAAAGAAGTGCCTCCAACTCTTACAGTCTCCGAGTTAGCCGCTACAAATGTAACAGTCCTTCCAGCATCTGCACATTAGCTGATTTTATCGCTCTTATTTAATGTCCTTAATGCCACTAAGGGTGCCCTTTCAAATGTGTGAAATGAGATATGGCATAAAGCGCTTTCAGATGCCCAAGAATAAAGGCTGCTCAATCATCGTCATTCTAGCAACGAATGGGTATGATTTACAGGAAATTATTGAAGAACCCAATGCAGAAGGCTGCTAAGTTGGGTTCAAGATATTTGAGTGGATCAAAACTTATTCACAACAGAAGAAAATACCGTAACTATTGGGAGGGCACAACGTGAAAATAACCCAGTACAGTAGGTATAGCTAGGACGATTATTGACACTGATCAAGGTAATACAGTAGAGGTGAGCAGCGAGTGCAGGAGTTGGCACTTTTAGAAAAAAAGGAATGTTATAACAAGCATCAGACATGTGCCAAATAAACAAAAAAACATTCAAATCGGTGCATAGCCCGTTGACAAATTCGTTGTAAAATATTGACACTTGACAAAGAAAATTAAGGAAATCATTCAACTGATGCATATCGTCAAATTACTGATTACAATTTTTGATTTCAACGAGTGTGTAAAGTTCTGATGATTGTGTTGTTTCTGGCATTTTATGATTAAAAAGTCTTCAGCAAAATGTTTAATGAAATGTATTTTTTGTCACATCTTTAAAATAAGCACATGTTAGACCACATGCATGCTAAAATCCTTATGATGTTTTCAGCATTTCCTTATGTCCTGAGAAAACTTAGAAATTAAATCAAGCAGCAATTATTCTTCACGACATTACCAACACGTATTTTGCATCCAATTAACACTGTTTTAACCAGGTTGAAACACCGCTTTGCCTTAATTAAATTAGTTTGAAATGAGTATTTTTTTGAAATAAGTATTATTTTCAAACATCACACATTGTTATTTCTCTCTGCTGCTGCCAAGCAGAAGCAGAGCGGTCACAATTCAGTCGCGAAGCACGATAATGCGCAATAATTTTCACGTAAAAAATTTTGAATACACTGCATTTTTGTTCATTTTAAAGCAAAACAACAGCATAAAATATGCCTAATCTGAACAAATAAAATAGTTATTTAATGAAAAAGGCAGCATACAAAATGTCACATTACACAACAGGTTATTAAAATAAAGGTTAATATTAACCTGTCAAATGAAACAACACATTGTTAATTTGGATAATCTGGATTAAAAAACAATAAAAATATAGAAAAAGATAACTTACACAACAGGTACATTTTACTCCAATATTTATGAGCCTTGGGATGCTGCCCTGGTGTAACGGCTTGCAATCTGGATTTGCAATCCAGAGCTTGCTGGTCAGATCTCCCGGCCTGGCAGTTGAAACAATGGGCGGGTTTCTTCAATGCCCCGTGGTCTCTGTCCAGCCAACAGTATAAATAGATGCAGCACAGTCGATCGGCAGGGAGTGTGTGATGGGGTAAAGTGCGGATACGTCCACCTCTTCCAAGACATTTGGCCTGCGTGGACTAGAAGGCCAAATACCCTCTACAAAGGTTCTCGAACTCTCTCCAGTAGAAGCTGTAATTTATTTTATCTCGCTGAGATGCATATCTGTATTTTTCTGAGATGGCATCAAAAGGCTGGCAAACATCCGGCAGATGCATTTTGCTAAGTCTGTGGCCAATTTATCAAGACGAGCGAAAAAGTACTCTGTGGAAGCATATGCTAAGATGTGTGAAGCCGACGAGGCATATTTCGGCATGCCTGTCGGGGATCAGGACAAACCCTTGGGCACCTCATTTCACCTGTGAGCAATGCAAAATAACTCTGGAAGGTAAGGTGGACAATTGTTGCTCGGAATTTTATGTTATAAAATGTTTTACAAGTTTTTTAATGGTAAAAGTTTTTAATAAAAAAATGTTTTACAATTTTCAATGTTATTGAAAAAAATTATCATGAAAAATGTTGCGAGAATCTCTTACACATTAGTCTTGGGTGAAATAAATGTATTTTTGTAGGAAGGTACAGAGGGGAAAAGAGGGCCATGAAGTTTGCTATCCCAAAAATTTGGTGGGAACCCACTGACCACTCAAGCAACTGCTACTTCTGAATGGTGGACCCTTCCAAACGTCGAACTGGCACGAATGCACCTGCTATCACGTATCCGGACCTTCATCCATCGCCCCGGTGCCACACTTCCATGAGCTCCCCGTACCCACTCCTCCGGAGAGAGAACAGCCGTCTTTAGAAGAGAGCAGCAAGTCAGAGAGCGAGGAAGACGTAGATCCAGATGACAATTTCAGAGGTGGAGCTGAGGAGAGAAACCCAAACTACCCCAACCAAAAAGACATCAACGACTTGATCAGAGACCTTGAACTCACCAAGTCTAATGCCGAGCTTTTGACTTCAAGGCTCAAGCGGTGGAACTTGTTGGATGAATGTGTGAAAGTCGCAGATCAGAGGAAGCGTCACCAACCTTTTTGCAGCTTCTTCACCAGTCAAGATGGGCTCTGCCTCTGCCACAAATGTGACCCGTCTGTGCGAGGCAATTGGAATCGTCTGTAACCAGAATGAGTGGTGCCTCTTCATTGACAGCTCATTCAGAAGCCTTAAAGCCGTGCTGTTCCATAATGGTAACAAGTACCCGTCTCTTCCCCTGGCTCACTCGGTGCACCTCAAAGAGGATTACAACAGCATCAAGACCTTGCTGTACGTCTTAACGTATGATGAGTATGGCTGGGGGGTCATCAAAATGGTGGCATTCCTGATGGGTCTCCAAGGCGGTTTTACCAAGTTTCCCTGCTATCTTTGGCTTTGGGACAGCAGGGACACCAAGGCACACGACCACAGGCAGGAGTGGCCACAGCGGCCCGAGTTCTCTGTGGGGAGGAACAATGTCAAGTGGGAGCCACTGGTGGACCCCTGGAAGGTGCTGATGCCACCACTGCACATCAAATTGGGCCTTATGAAAAATTTGTCAGAGCTGTAGATAAGGAGTCGGCAGCCTTAAAGTACCTTCAAGACTTCTTCCCTAAGCTGTCTGAGGCAAAGGTCAAAGTCTGTGTCTTCGTCGGACCACGGATGAAGAAGATCCTGGAGTGCAATGAAATTCCCAACAAGCTCACTAATAAGGAGAAAGCAGCTTGGAACAGCTTTGTCGCAGTGGTTCGTGGCTTCCTGAGCAATCACAAGGTCGAAAACTATATGGAGCTGGTTGAGACTGGTGAAGAACTACGGCACAATTGGCTGTAGGATGACCATCAAAGTCCATATCCTTGATGCTCATCTTGATAAATTCAGGGAGAACCTGGGAGCTTACTCAGAGGAGCAAGGCGAGCACTTCCACCAGGATATATTGGACTTTGAACGCCGCTACCAAGGACAGTATAACGAGAACATGATGGGAGACTACATTTGGGGGCTGATTCATGAAAGTGTTTTACAGTATAATCGTAAATCTCGACAAACTACTCACTTATAAATCTTTTGTAGTCATTTTTGTGTTAGTTTAGTATAAATGCATGTTCATTTTGATTCATGTTTTTTATTTCTGACTTTATGTGAACGAAAATACACAAATTCGCCCGTTTTCTCATTGAAAATAGGTAAATTTCAAAATATCACTGTCCTGGTCACAAAAGCAAAGTTTGTGGGGAATTATAGCCATTTTCTATAAGCAATTACGAAATAACACTACCCAGGAACAAAAATAGTGTTAAATAGTGTTATAGGTGATTTATGAATAGTACAGTAAAAGTAAAAGCCATGACGCACACTCGACAATCCATAACATTACCACACTTAATTAGAAGAGTCAAACTCTCAACACACGATTACAATGACGAAGTGTGATGTCCACGAAATAATAATTGATGTGATCTTACATTAAGATAAATATGCAAGAATTATCCATGGTATAAGTGGCATACTATCTGAAAAAAGTACACAAAAAGAGCAGAGAGATGCACGTTTGCATCGACACTGAGAGGCAAGAATGAGGCACGTCATGAACATGGATTAGGAAACACATTATAGACGGTTGGTTCTGTACGGTGTGAAAGAAATTCAACATACGTGCAGGTATGAACACATCACGACTGTAAGAGATGATGGGTGAACCGGTGATGGAATGGCAGCCCGAGGAGAAAATCTGCCTGGGAGGACAATCACTGTTTTAGAATCAGAAACTTTATTTAGACCGTCGGAATCTAATGAGCTTTGAAGTTCATTTTTCACAGATGTCCACTGCTGCAGAGATGCTTCGATGGGGTCAGCACGTGCGCAGGATAAGAATTGTGCAGTGAAAGAACTCTGCGGGATTGCTACAGCATTGGGAGGACTTCGTCTCCAAGCAGATTTACATTGGCCGACGGTGACGATGGGGCTATTTTAACGTTACAACATCATGCTGTGCATCACATGATCAACCACTAATGACGTCACAAAGGGGTGACGTAGGGTATTTCTACAGCATCCTTATTGCTCAAGTTGTGGTCGCTTCGTGGCGTCGGTGACCTCGAGGGCGTTTTTGAGAAACGCGTTCCCAGCACAAGGTGTGCTGGGAACGCGTCGTGGGTCAAGCGAGCTGCCACCGCAGCTTTTAACGTCCACAAGCAGTATTTGGTGAGGACATTTCGTGCCGATTCCGCTCAAATTGCACCGCCCTTAAAAACTAGTTTTTTTGCTTGTTTAATGGCAGTGTTAATTGACGAAAATGTTTTTTTTGTTATTCCTGTTATATGTACCGCTGCCAACGCAATAGCACGCGTGACATTGTGAGATACGGCTCAGGGAGGCCTTCATCCAGCAACTGATTAATCATGGCTTATGATGATGATGATGAATGACGTGTAGGAAAAATGTTGATATCTAAATGCTATTCTATGTTTTGCTATTCCAGCGAATCGCTAAATGTTCAGGAGCTAAATGAAGCCACAAGATGGCTTCAGGATAGAGTTGGTGGAGTTTTGCTATTCCCTCCTCTGTTAGAGTGCAGACTGCAGTGGTTTACTATGCGGTCCATAGTTTGGGCTGCATGACCACATTACCACCGGGGCTTGTCTTCACATATTCAATTCATGGGGGAGATTTGCGCATAGGCCTGTTGATATTCTGACGCGGTCGATGATTACACCAATATCTTCTAGGATTGCCAAAGCCAGGAGGTGCGATATTTGAGTCCCCAATGACGTGTTTAGGGGCCGTCCATAAATGACGTCAGCGCACCTAGGGGGGGGGGGTCAGATTTTTGTGACGATGTGTGACGGGGGAGGGGGGTTGAGAAATGTGGCGTCACATAAAATGCTCAACTTTAAATAAATATAGATATGTTATAACAACGCTAATTGTTATAACACCGCTCCTACAACATCAGAATTCAGCGCCACGTTAAATACGCACTGCAATGACAATAGTTTAAAGCGATTTGAAGAATGTTTTATTTTCAAAATGGAAATATGGTTTTGGGGGGAGGGGCAGAGCTTTGTGACGTCATATTTGAGGGGGGGGGGGTCTGACTCTTTGTGACGCCGTGTGACGAGGAGGGGGGGGGGGGTCAAAAATCGTCCCAAATCGCGTGACGTCATTTATGGACGCCCCCTTATTCTGTGTATCTGCTTTGTTCCACTGTTCGCCAGCACCATTGTTGTTGTTGTTCCATACTCAGTGAACTGATGAATATGCAGCAGTTTAGCTTCAAGGCACATTCTTATAAGCAGTCAGAAGATTTGCATTGTATTAAAAAACACTATCTACTTTATTTTTGATGTTCAGATTCAACGATTCAAACAATCATATCAGGACACTTTGGTTTACATTTTTAATTTAAAATACAGCCTCCCAGTTCTCATAAAATATTTAGTGCAGGCTGTGACTAAATGACAAGACTGCAATGTTAATCAAATAATCAAATCAAATCAAAATTGTAAAACTGACAGTTGTGTGTATTAAAAAAAGCAAGAAACAACGTTGAGTAAACGATTAAGTCGGTTTAAAAATGTGCAGTGGTAATTATTACAGATTCCTATCGCTGCAGCAGTATGGGGGCACCACTAAAAAGAGTATGTATAAATGCACATAATGTACAATTGTATTAAAATTATTGTAAATGTACAATTTCACCCTTACCAAATAAAAATATATATACCACTAAATTGGATCTTTTTTTTTTACTTGGTGCACATGATATACAGTAATTGCAGGATGTAATTGAACCTACCCGTGACACCATAGAACAACAATTTAATGTGTACAACTGCTTTCGGTGCCATTAGATTTTACCATTAAGGAAACACAAGGGTGCAAGCAATTTTACCAACACATTAATTAGGGCCATTATTATTTTTTCTTAAAAAATATGAAATAATATAAAAACAAAATTCACTGCAGCTTAAACAAAAGCAAATGCAAGACATTCTTGAAAAAAAAAATTGAATGTCTATTAAAGATAGTATTATTGTGCAATCTTGTAAATAAAAAGTGTACTGTATATGCGATATACCATAGTACCTGAGTAAAAAAAAAACCCAACATAATACAAAATATCAGGAAATTAATCAAATAAAAAAACATCGTAGCACTCCGTTGACAATGCGTTGAAGTAGACATGTTGATGAGTGCCATAACTTGGCACTTCCGAAGTGCACGGTCACCATTACCGTATCACGTCATTCACAGGATCTCAATGATTAGAATGCGAGAAACCGTATATATATAAAAAAACAAATCAAAACAAGAAATGTTTATATTCACAAGTCCTTGTGGAACTTTTTTAAATAGTGCAAATCGTATTGGATCTGTTTTACTGCCGGACTGTGGTTTCTTGCTATTTACGAATCAAGTAAGGTGGCACATTGGGTTTCGGAGACTTGGCCTTCTCGGGTTTTCCTGGAGCCGGCCTGAAAAAACGAGAACACAGGAATCAAAACCCTCGCTAAATGGAAATACTATGACCTAAAAATAGCCGTTAATATGTAGGTTTGCGCGGTTTGTGCTGTGCTGGCTCTGTGATGCGCTATCAGATTGTCGTCCTGCACGATATTTGGTGTAATGCCTGATGTTTTGCTCCAGGCGGCTCAGCCGCAGAGCGAGTGGCTTGCAATCCTAGATTTAAAGTTTTCGTGACTGCAAGGATTCATACTCTTTGGTTTTTTCGGTAAAGTCACGTAGGTAAAAAAAATAAAATAAATTAAATCACGACGTTTCGGGTGCAACACAAGCATCCTTCTGCAGGTGGGGACAACTTAGCGAAAGCACACTTAAGCGAAAGCACACTTAAGCGAAAGCACACTTAGGCGGTGTGCTTTCGCTAAATTGTCCCCACCTGAAGAAGGACGCTTGTGTTGCGCCCGAAACGTTGTGATTTAATTTATTAAATTTTTTTACCTACGTGACTTTACCGAAAAAAACAAAGAGTATGGCTTGCAATCGGAAGGTTGTGAGTTCAAATCCTATTTGGGAGTCCTATAGAAAGATTATCCCCTGCCATATTAACGCAGAATTTCCATCACTGGCTCAGGGCTGTAAATGGAGGATCAGAAATGGCTCAATGTTCATTTGATCAATAACTCACTTCAAATTACTTTTTTTCTGAGCGCTTAGAACCCAAAATACATCAGAGAGCGAATAACAATTGTTGAAAATTATTACATTGTTGCTATAGTATTGTTACTATTATTATTAATTACTGGCTATAACACAGTCTATGTTGACAAATGGCTACATAGCCTATGTTTAAGTATAGCGATTTTAGAGGTGTATATTCCAATGGACATTCTGTGCAATTTAACAATTTTCCAGCAGAGGTTCTACGAGTCAAATTGTGGAGCTTTCTGAAGCCCTCACAGAAAAGGGGTTTTGTTTCTCTTCTTGGTTCTTTCGGTAAAGTCACGTAGAAGGGAAGTAATAAAATAATAAAAATAAAACATAATAAAATAATTCTCACGACGTTTCGGCCACAACGCAAGCAGCCGTCCTCAGGTGAAGAAACAGGTATGTCGGGGAGACAGCGTCTGAATGAAACACCACCATGCTTGGAGCGTATATTTAAGCTGGGTTGGAAGGGGGGAAGGGCGCCTTGACAAAATATTTTGCATATCAAGAGGAATTTAGCATATTTATGGGATATTTATATCCCATAAATATGCTAAATATAAATTTTATGGGATATAAATACCCCATTAAAATGCTAAATTCCTCTTGATATGCATCCCTGCAGTCATGAAAGCTTTAAATCGAACTAGGGGTTTTGTTAGACTGCACAGACATATGTGTGATGAGGTGCTGGTAGTATCAGAGAAACCGACTATATAAAAAAAAAGCTTTGCCAGCATTTGTGTTTTTGACAACAATAGTTTGGCAATGTTCACTTGTGCAGAGTTCAGACAATGGTCAAATGGTGAGACGGTTTAATTGATGAAATTATTTTAATTAGGACCTTGACTATTGTGTTATGTGTATTTTAACATGATTAAATATTTAAATATAATGTCATTAGGTGTGTTGATATTACTGCAATTTTACACGAGGGGTATACTTAAAGAATTGTGATAATTATAGTAATTAAGGTGAGGAATATAGGAAAATTATAATGCAACACATTCTTAAAAGGCAATATCCAATGGGAGCGGTATATTTAAAATCAGCCATGGCATTGTATAAAGAGCACAATTTAGAAAACTGCAGGCCAACTCTCATTACATTTCCTCATTCAATATATAATAAGTAATCAAGCATAAACAACTTAAAACACAGACCGTTGGCAAAAACTATTTAGTACTGCATCAGCTGCTATGCAAGATATTGGGCACCCAAGTATATTTTAAGCATTAATAATGCTATGAAACGGGTCCATTGCCCAAAACGTCGTTGATTATGTTTTTTCTTGACAAATGTGTTGAATTGTTTTGTGGATTACTGCCACCGAAGATAATACATATAAACATTATATAATTGGTGGGACAAATATATATACTGGAAATATGGACCATTTTTTAAATCCTTTATATTAAGTTCGCTTGCTTGCTTGCGTGCTTGCGTGCATGCGTGCTTGCTTACGACCGTGCAAACCTTTCGGTCGTTTTTTAACCCACTTCCCGTGATCCAATCGAGCTGACATTTTGCACACAGACTCGTTGTGCGAGACAATTAATGTTCGTGAAAAAATTTTGCACAAATTTTACACTGTTTAGGGAAAACAAATTAAATTTTTAATTACCAATTGTTTAATACTGCTGACAATCATCTGACCCATAGGTGGCAGCCATCTCAAGCCAGAGGACGAGAGGACTCTAGCCGCCACGTATATAAAGGATTTAGAGTGAAAAACTTTGTTTTTACGGGTTATACTTGTTTAAAAATCACATTGGAGTGCTATGCAATCATCTCCTGGCAAAACCATGCTCAGGACTTAAAATGGCTCAGGCCTTAAAAGGAAGTCATCCATGCTGCAGGATTAGCACTCTTAATAAAGACAATGCAAATTACTTTACCAGAAAAGCCTCACACTGGAGATTATGCATTAGGATGTTTCACTAATACCATTAATATGTGTTTGCCTTGTGGAAACCGAAGCATCCCAGGCATACTAACGCATAACACTCAAAGCTCCGCACAGATTTAGTTTATCCGCAGATGGAATACTAAATATAAGATCTTTGATTGGTGTAGACCTTCAGGCGGTGTCGGGGCTTTCTCCTACATTAACGTTAGCTGCCCTGCCCATCTCTAAACCTTTGTGAACAGCTTGCCCTCAGAGGCTAACCTCCCTGTTCCTGATGACGATCGCTTGTGTTGCGATCGAAACGTCGTGATATTTTTTTTCCACTTTATTTTTATTATTTTATTGTTTTTATTTTTCGATCTACGTGGCTTTACCGAAAGAACCATAGAACATAGAATATATACATCAATGATACAATTGATTTATAAATAAATTATCCAATTGCTGTAGTGCCATCACCTGGCCACATCAAAAACTGCAGCCCCATCTCGACGAAACAAAAAAACCAAGCAATCAACCGTCTAAGTGCGAACCGGGCTCAGTGCTTCTCAGCTTTCGAGGTCAGACACGTTTCAGCGGATTCAGGGTGATTTGGTCAGGCATAAGCAATAAAACCACCCGGCTACCTGTCTGCTTCACATTTAACCAGTGTTAATTAGTCGAGATTGAGTCTAAGTATTCGTCGAGTGTATGGCAACCTTTGGAATTTTAGCCAAGACATAGTCTGTGGATTAAATTAAATTTAAATTGGTCAAAAATGTCATCCACTTCCAGTTATTAAATGTTCTTTTGGGGACACACTTTTTCTCCACCCCCCCCTGACCCCCCCCCCCATCCCCCCCAATATCAAGTCAGCTAATCAGTGAATTCAGTACATTTTGACAGATGGCTAATAACCAATGGTGGGCTTCCTGGGTGCGCTGCTGTCTCCAATGCTGTGACGAAATTATCTTAAATCTTGATTTGAAGCTTTCGTGACTGCAGGAATTCATACTCTTTGCTTCTTTCGGTAAAGTCACGTAGTTAGAAATAAAATAAAATAAAACAAATCACGACGTTTCGATCGCAACACAAGTGCCTGATGGCGACCGCTTGTGTTGCGATCGAAACGTCGTGATTTGTTTTATTTTATTTTAGCTTCTAACTACGTGACTTTACCGAAAGAACCAAAGAGTATAAATTATCTTCGCCTGCATTTTTGTGCAGGCTCGTTAATTCATCTGGTCACAGTCAGTCACACCTTTGGCCTCGGGCGAGCCCCAGTCGTCTTCATCGACACGCTTGTTAACTGTTTGTCCGCTCATGGAAAACATTTTGTCCGTGAATATTTATGACATCAACACAACATTTCGATTTAAAGCTTTCGTGACTGCAGGGATTCATCTTCTTGGTTCTTTCGGTAAAGTCACGTAGAATGGAAGTAATAAAATAATAAAAATAAAACCTAATAAAATAATTTCGATTTAAAGCTTTCGTGACTGCAGGGATTCATCTTCTTGGTTCTTTCGGTAAAGTCACGTAGAAGGGAAATAATAAAATAATAAAAATAAAACATAATTAAATAATTTAAAGCTTTCGTGACTGCAGGGATTCATCTTCTTGGTTCTTGCGGTAAAGTCACGTAGAATGGAAATAATAAAATAATAAAAATATAACATAATACAATAATATTTTATTACTGCAGGGATTCATCTTCTTGGTTCTTTCGGTAAAGTCACGTAGAAGGGAAATAATAAAATAATAAAAATAAAACATAATTAAATAATTTAAAGCTTTCGTGACTGCAGGGATTCATTTTCTTGGTTCTTGCGGTAAAGTCACGTAGAATGGAAATAATAAAATAATAAAAATAAAACATAATAAAATTATTTCGATTTAAAGCTTTCGTGACTGCAGGGATTCATCTTCTTGGTTCTTTCGGTAAAGTCACGTAGAATGGAAGTAATAAAATAATAAAAATAAAACATAATAAAATAATTTCGATTTAAAGCTTTCGTGACTGCAGGGATTCATCTTCTTGGTTCTTTCGGTAAAGTCACGTAGAATGGAAGTAATAAAATAATAAAAATAAAACATAATAAAATAATTTCGATTTAAAGCTTTCGTGACTGCAGGGATTCATCTTCTTGGTTCTTTCGGTAAAGTCACGTAGAATGGAAGTAATAAAATAATAAAAATAAAACATAATAAAATAATTTCGATTTAAAGCTTTCGTGACTGCAGGGATTCATCTTCTTGGTTCTTTCGGTAAAGTCACGTAGAATGGAAATAATAAAAACATAATAAAATAATATAATAAAATCAAATATTATGTTTTATTTTTATTATTTTATTATTTCCATTCTACGTGACTTTACCGAAAGAACCAAGAACATCAACACAGCATTTAACCGATGTCAGCTGCATCAGCTTCAAGCAAACCTGACGGGCCGAGCCTCCGCCGCTGGTGAAAAGCGAGCAGCCAGCGCAGCCATGTTGGGACTCAGGTTCTTGGCCTGGGCTGCGGGCACGGGGGACCGGCATGGGTGTACTGGCAGAGGTTTCCTTGGAGGCAGTGGCTTGGGTGAGCTCTGCGTGACCTGCACGAGAGATAGGAAGGAGAAATCAAAGGTGAGATTTCATCCGCAAGACTAATGTCATGCTGCATAGATAAAGTTGCGAAACTGAATTCTCTTGCTGATGCCACTGCTGGTGGAATGACCTCCGCTAGAGGGAGCTCTAGAGAGCCCCTATAAAGGATATTTTGGACTAACACTTCCACACTGGCCAAACATCTTAGAAGGTGTATCTACACTTCCCCACCACACGTGACCGATCAATCGACAGACTGGTGACCCGCTCCATACTGATGGGTGTACAGAGGCAAGGGAGATGGAAGAAACTTGCACCATAATATAATTTGCCACACCAGCAGTTATATCCAGAGACCTTGGTATTTCAAGTCCAGTGTTCAAAACCATGACACTACGGCAGCATTTAATCATGCTGCTAAGCGATACAATGAGGGATGTTATTTCTATTGGCTTGGGGAGAATTAGAAATGGAAAAGATAACCCTAAAAAGACCTTTTTATAATTTTTTGTGAGCCTCCCTTGTCATATCACACTCTCACAGCATGGCAACCAACGGTACACAAAAGAAAGTCATTATTCTATTATATTCATTCCACTGTAATGTGCAGAGTGAAAATACAAGTTGAGGTTGCTCAAATAAAACACATTTGTTGCTATGGGAATTTTTGTTTTAGAACGGCCAATCCTTATGACACAGTCTCTTTGCAAAGGGGATCCACTTCCAAGCGATACATGTTCATATTTTCTGGTGCCATTATCATCGGATGCATACTCTTGTTGTACCGTGAATAAAAACTACACTCGCATGTGTGACAACCCGACCTGATGTGTGTTTTAATTTTACAGATTAAGTTTTGTGAACCAAAAAAAAATATCGCACAAGAATTAATCTCACCTCCACCAGTCTGGTCTGAGGCCCAGATGGCAGTGGCTTTGCTGGTGGCCTCGGCACTGCAGGAGACGCAACTGCCTGATGATGGTTACCCGTCTTCGCGAGAGGTACGCAGGGCCGAGGAGGCCCTCCCGGACCCTGTGGCCTTGGAGGAGCGTTCGACGCTTGCTTTTTGGCCTGCCCGCTCAAGGGCAGAGGCCCCCTTAAAGCCGGCGGACACGTTCTGGGATTGTTCTCAAGCTGTAGGTGTGTGAATATACACAGCAAACGGGTGACGCAGAGACCACAGTTGATGAAGGTATTGCGTTTGTCAAAGTAGTATCATAAATTGTTCTGTTTAATTTTGGTAGGTTTGGGGGGGGGGGTGATTTATTTGACCAGACTGAATTTTAGTTTTCCGTATCAAGGTAAAGGTGCATCTCTGCAATTGCCTGCGAATGCCACTGCTAGCACAAGGGCCTTGACTATAGGGAGCTCGAGACAGCTCCACGAGAGGGCATCTTAACCTATTTTTTCCATGCTGGCCAGTCACCTTGGAAGAGGTGGGATTACCCACACTTTATCCCACCACATGCCACCTACCGACTGACTGTGGTTATTTACATTTTTACTGCTGGGGTGGGGGGGGGTAGAGGGAGGAAAATGATCTGGCCACCTCTGTATTGCAAGTCGAGTGTGATAACCATAACATTACGGCAGCATCCCGATGTTTTCCAATTCATTTTAATTTGCCAGTTTGCTATGCAACATTAAATATTTCATTAAAAGGATTTGGGGATTTCTTTAGACTGCGAATGCACTCCCATAATTTTGAACTGTAAATTTCGATTGCATGTACAATAACATTCATACATATATTTATGATTTTCATACGATTTTTCTCATAGATATTAAAAGCACACAGACTTATGTACAGTATTATATTTCAGGAGTCGCTGCTATAAATTATGTACAGCCCTTCTGTCAATCCTCTGCTGGGGAGTATCCTCTTGCCGTATGGGTTGTGGGCATTATATGACCATACTTCATCACCCTGGTCAGCGGGGGTTGGTGAAGGACGTGGATCATAAATATGGAAGCATAGAAGTACTCTACAATGCAACAATGAATTATGCAGCCTCACAGTCCTGTAAACAACCTAGCCGTGCATAGTGGTCACCCATACAAGCACCATCCCAGGTTCAACCTTGTTTAGCTTCAGAGATCCGATGAGATCGGGCACATTTGAGCTATTTAGGTCCCATAATGTCATGAGACGTGTATGTAAATGTGACTTTACCGAAATAACCAAGAAGATGAATCCCTGCAGTCACGAAAGCTTTAAATCGAAATTTAAAGATGATGTTTCAAATATTTGTTTCGTTATATTCATTTATATATCTGTGATGTTGTATCTTAATATTTGCATCAAACATAATTTAGTTTTGAAAACAACTGTGAAGCTGTAAAGTTCCACGTGTAAAAAAAAAACACGGACTAAAATGGCAAACTCAAATTTTAACGCATTCAATGAGTAAACAAAAATGTTTAGCAACGGCAACAATTGGATTCGGGAAAGCGGCGCATACCATCTGAATGTCCTCATGGTGAACGGTCACCATGTGTGTTCGTTTGCTTGCAGCCACCTGGTTTTCATAGCCGGGATTGGCTTGCCCTCCATCCTTGCCAGAACGACCTCTCCCCTCCCTGAAACAATCACAGCAGTTGATGTATTGTCCCCTTCATTAACTTTTCGACCAATTTAGCATCCATAAACGTAGCGCGGTCTCGCTGCAGATTTTTTTGTACTTGGCACGAAATGTTATTTTTCTACGTATGTATGCATGCATTAGAAAATGTTTCTTAGATTATTATTTTTCACTCCAGTTGCCTGGGGCTGGGTTTTACCATTCAATGCATCAATTTGTGGCATACATCTTCAAAGGATGAATCAAGAACAGGTCACCGTGTTCATGTCTCAAAATATTAAGAGAACACTTCACTTACAAAAAAAATAAGCCAGTAAAACACAGGCTACAAAGGGGTTTAAGGAAATATGTATTGATGAGCAGTGTGCAAGTGGTGCGCTTACCTGCACATATGAAAGAAGTGCTCTTTGCGGGTTTGGTACTGCTGCCATAACGTGGTCCGTTTGCGGTAACAGATGTACATGGCGAGCCCCAGGGAGGGCAAGATGAGAAAGAAGGTGACCATGAGAGCCACCATCAGCTCACATTCGCCTGGACAAACATATTGAACAGTCAATTACTTCTGAACACAAGCCACTCAATGTACACCGTCACACTGAGCTCTCTCTCTCTGTCTGTCTCGCACACCCACATCCCATGTGCACAATCACATAAACATGCATACTGCACTGTTTTTTGAGACACATTCATTGTCAAAATGTTTTTTTTTCTCTAAAATAAACATTGACAGTACTCACCTCCTGTTTACAGCCCTGAGTCAGTGGTGAAATTTTCACATTCATATTGCAGGGGCAAGTCTATCCACAAGGACAACCACTATTGAATTCCTAACAATGTAGTACTGAACATTTTTGACCCAGGAGAGATGATGGGTAAGTCAACCCCCATCCAGGATTTGAACTTGCATCCTCCCTGATTGGAAGCCGCTCGCTCTGCCGCTGGAGCTACCTGGCCGATTATAAAACTTTTCAATGATGCAGGCTTCGAATATTATGCTCGTATATTTTACACACAGATGACATCCACAGAACAGATAAGGGTATAAATAACATTTTCCCCTTCATTTTCATTCTTACATCAATGGACTTGCCAGGTGGGCTGAATAGCCCTTCATGATGTGTTACCGGTGAGGGATATATTTGTACGTGGTTTGAATAAATGGAATAGAATTAAGAATGTGTTCTGGCAGTAAAAAAATAATCAACGTACGAGAGGGTCGGATGGGTCCACTGTCGATGCTTCCACCGTGACCAGGCTGCTCGCATGCAGGAGGTGCCCACTGCCCATCACAGTGACAGTTCCGGTTGCTATTACAAACCTACGAGTCCGGAAACACACGGAGAGAGTAAAAGGGCAAAGCCCCCAACACCCAACATGAATTCATTACTATTCACCGCACAGCTACACCTGCACAAGCATTATAGATTTCGCTTTTTTACCACCAGTAGAGAAATAGCTACTTTTAATGTCTCGTGGACGATTCCATGTGTTTTATTATACGAGATGAAGTAGATATACTACACATGGTACATGACAATTATGGGATCTGAATTTGCTTTTGGATTCTGGACACATTTCTGATTTTTGGTGGCCTCAACACAAATACACAAAGGGCTTCTCTGAGGCTGACCTTATGACCACAAGCCAATGCACCCTTTGTTAGGCTTAAGTGGCATTTGTGCACAAAAGACGTCCAATGCTCAGGCCAAAAATAACAACATAGATTTACAGAGAGACCAAATCTCATCAATGTTTTTTTTTTACCGTTGCAAGCTACCAAACATTTGCAGACCTTAACCTAGCCAAGTAAACAACCACGTAGATTGTGTATTTGTGACAAGAGATAAACAGGTTTCAGTTACATGGTGGCATTAATTAGGGGGTCAAGTTTGTGATTCAGCACTCTCAAGGTAAACCATAACTCAATACGCTGGTCAATAACAATGCCGTGTACATTTAAATGTATAAGAGGAGACGTTTTGGATAATGGCCCTTCTACACGGCACAAAATAATCAGGGCTACTGCCCAAATGTCACCTGTTACATATGAAATGTTTTGAGTTTTTTGTTGTATTAATTGTGCTTGCACACCACTGTCACAAAAGAACGTGTGTTCACTATGAAGGCAAGGGTTGGTAAATCACATATATGTCTTCTTGGTTCTTTCGGTAAAGTCACGTAGAAGGGAAGTAATAAAATAATAAAAATAAAACATAATAAAATAAAATAATTCTCACGACGTTTCGGCTACAACGCAAGCAGCCGTCCTCAGGTGAAGAATGAGACAATGCCAAGCTAGGAGCTTATATATTTTATTATGTTTTATTTTTATTATTTTATTACTTCCCTTCTACGTGACTTTACCGAAAGAACCAAGAAGATGAATCCCTGCAGTCACGAAAGCTTTAAATCACATATATGTGTTGAACTCCCAATCCCGCTGAGCTGCAAGCTGGCCAGAAGATGTCAATGCAGCAAGGGGATTGATTGCTGACTGTGGGAGGCTTTGAATGTTCTTCCCTCGAATGTGTGGGATTTGTGCTGGTACTCCAGTTTGCTCCCAGATGTGCCACTCATTATTAAGAAACACTCACACCAACCAATGGAATTGGCCAAATATCCCATGCAGGACTTTTATATAAAAAAAAAACTAATTGATATTATTATCGTTAAAAAAAAGTCATATGGAGGAGATCTGAACTCAAGGATTTATTCTGAGGCAACTATAAAATGGCGTACCCTTTTGAAACATTACTTCACCATGGGTTAAAAAAATACCACCTAATTTATTCTAATTATCTTTTGGTGTCAAATCATGAGAGGACGAATCCATTCGAAAATTTCCAGAGGAGTGAACCCTGCGTGTCGAAGAATGTCACAATATTTCTCCCCAAAAAAATTCCCACACATAAGATGTTTTTTGTTCCATCACAAACACATATGTGTACGCATTTGTATTCTTCTAGTACTTGAATATACCCAGATAAATGAAACACCAAATGCTTTTTTTGCTGAGACTCTCTCTCCTCATTGCACTTGTGAAACTTGTTTTAACCATGGGTGGCTGCCCAGATTTCAACATATCAGTGGTGCCAATTTAGTGATTTTACCTCTGAGAATGCATGTTTTAAAATATCCATTCTTCAGCAGGAGGTGTGCCTTGGTAATGGCTAGGCGTGAACCATAATGATTCAGCCCCACAGAGTTTCAAAGCGATGGCATGATTGAAGGTTGCAGCGTGATTTGATTGAAGAATATTTTGATTTTTTTTATTATTTCTGCCATGTTATTTGTACTTCTCATTTCCCACCCACCCTCTTATTTATTCAGCTTTGCTCACCCTGTTAGCCGGAATGTAACATTGGCATATCATGCATACAATGTGTACACAGTATACATAATATAACTTACACACACACACAATTCAATGCATATATCATGAGTAAGTGAATCAGTAGATGAAACATAGATCAATCCATGCTTAGTTGTATGCTGAGCAATGCTCAACAGACATTAACAGTCAACTGTGGGAATCTAACCACCACGTTTGAGCACACTGGACTGTACTGGACTGGTTGGTGAGTTCATTAACCAGCTGCCCAAACTTGAAATGCTGTCACTTCAAAACAAATAAGCCACAGGATGCTCTCTCTGATTGCATTACAATATCTCCCCACACATTGTACCTGGAGAAAAAAGTAATAATAATTGCAACCCCATTCGCATTGATGGTGGTGTGATTGTGTTTTTAAAGTCCAGGACGTCTCACCACCCTGATGGGTAAACCTTACTGGAGGGAGCCCCTTGAAATTACCTGTTCCTGCAGCTGCTGGCAGAAGGGCCTCCACTAGAGGGACATCTAGTGTGAATCTCAAGGATATTAGGCCCTTACTCTTCAATACCATCCAGGCGTCTTGAACGAGGTGGGAGCTACCCACTCTTTAACACCATCTACTTTCGACCTGCCAATCAACTCACTGTGGTGTACATATTCATGCTGCTAAGGGAAGATTCAAGAACCTTGCAGCGTTGTTTCAACTGGCACAGCAGGAGATCAAATGGCTAATCTCTGCATCGAGAGCCCAGTGCGATATTCATTACACTGTGGCAGCATCCCCTCTTACAGAAACAAAACCGAATGTTGTCTCCATAAACTATTACGGTAAACATTGCTTTCAATGTTCACACGAGTAATTTTGGGTTACTACACTTTATAAATGTGTTTTCGAACAGGGAATACGTGCAAAATATATGCTCAGTACTTTACAAAGTTCTGAATAGAATAGTAATTGTTCAATATGTTCAACTGTAAGGACAGCACCATTATTTCTCAGAATAATGTGATTGAAAGCTAACGGCAAAGCTATGTAATTTAAGAAGACGCTTAAATGATACAGGAATGCAATGACACACATTGACATAAAATAATACACAACGCATTACCATAATTTCAGCCATGCCCTATCCACCGTTGAAGGAATGCCTCCTCCTTACACTCGTACGATTCCGCGATCCATCTAGTTCCCATGACATGAGCTGATCTCAGAACTCCATCTCCGTGGCGGGTCAACCTTTTAAGCCATTCCATAATTAGTCGCGACCGTCTGCTGTCATACCTCCTCACGACAGGTTCCGTGCCAGCCCAATTACTTTTCTTGAGAGAGTCAGTAGAGTGTCTACAATTTGCATGTTCATCTCCGATCACTAATCGCATTAGTCTACCACGTGCTCTCTCACTGAGTCCGGCTGTAATAGGTTTCATTCTATCGAGGGTGTTCAAATAATGCAAGCTGCGTCACTAGGTTTGGGAGGGCTAAGCCCTGCTAGCCATAGCCAACCGCCACGTATAGCCTGTGCAGAGCGAGATGGAACCATAGCGCATGATAGAGACACAATCATAAAACTATGCAACAAAATAATAGACCCCAGCAGACCAATAATTTCTCGGGTGAGGAGTATAATTCCAGCTCTCTCTCACCTGGAGTGTTCACCCATGCCCTCCACTGTATTAACTACAGGAAACGTCGCCTAACTAGATGGAATATGTTGGATCAACATAATCAGACATATGAAAAAAATATAAAGTTTACACAGAAACGAAATACCTCAATTGTGGAATGATGCTTCAACCATTCTTCTATTCAAAAAGAAAGACAAAACTCATTGGAAGAATTACACAAAGCAGAGCAATATATTGCGATATTTCAATTCAATATTAGCAAATCGTATCCCGATTTGACACAGAAGCAGCTTTGTCAGCTATGAACTGCTAACGTTTCACCTTCACAGCACATGTCGTGTGTGTATATATACGAAGAGGCACGTGCATTAAGGTGAAGATATATTTGTTGAGGATTATAATATATTTTTAAGCACTTTACACAAGGGATGTGGATTGTATGGTTTATTCAAGGGCACTGATGGCTGTCTTGGTACAGTTCTGTTAGGTCTCGCATATTGGTGTCAGCCAGTTGCTAGCTGTAGTCAATTTAAGCTGCTTTTCCACTGTGTTTTTTTTACATTTCCAAGACACACAGCTTGTACGTTCTCAACGAACAACAGCATTAAGGGGTTCCTACATATTTCCCAGGGACATTTGAGGATCATGGGTGGTATTAATATTGTTAGATTTTGTAAACTCTAAACATACAGAATTGTGCATTTTAGATAACAGAAATAGGTTGTGTTATTAATTTTCTACAAGAAGTGGCACATGAGTAAGAGCATGGGCTTAGGGGGTATATGTATGCATCACCGACAATCTCATTCTCAGCAACAATCACCACGAGCCACTGCTGGATGAAGACCTCCCCAAACATCATGGCCTAGAAATGCAGAATCCACCCTGTTTCTGATGTTATCGACCCATCTCCACGGTGATCATCATCTTGAGTTTGTTCTCTCCTTTGGCTACAATTCCATCATTCCTCAGCCATAATCGATTATAGCGGGTTGTACTGTCCAAGCCCACGTATATACCTTGTTCAAATTCCAAGGCAATACGATATCTTTAAATTACGTTGGTTCATCTGTCAAGTGTTCCTCTTGCTGCTGTCTCTCGGTAATTCAAACATTGCACCTCTTCACGCTTCTTTTCGGATCTTTCATATTTTTGCTCAATCTGTGTTGATCGGTGGCCATCGAAGCTGGGTGGTTCACGTGATTCCAAATCTTGGGATTGTGATCAAATTCCTAAAATCAAATGGGATTCCGAGCAAGAGTGGAGGTTCCGTGGTGAGGGCAAGGCTGTGCCGAGCCCAGGTGTGGCCCAGCCCATTGAGCAGAATCACCGTTGAAATGTACGGCCCGTGTCTGTGTCAGGGGTCAGCGACCCACGGCTCCAGAGCAGCTTGCAGCTCCTTAAGGACGGGCTGCGCGATGTTATTTATTAAGGAGCCGCTGTCTCGTATTCACCTGCAATGCGGCTCTTTAAATATTGAGTTTTGTACCGAATTGGAAAAAAAATGTGGCTCTTCTTGTTATTTTGGTTGGCCGACCCCAGGTCTATGTAGTACATGTCAAAGGTATTTTTGACAAATACCACTGGGAATACCAACTAGATACTGGTGAAATGTGGTCAAAAAATGTAATCTTGACTGTGACACAATGGGGATGTCTTCATCTCGCATTGGAATGACGAAGGGTTGTAAACTATGACAAATTAATTATATAAAAAGAGTATACTCTACAATATAAGCTTTGCCCAATGTACAGCATATGCTATTTCATAAGAGTATAACATCACACCTTTAACTAAAATAATTCATTACTAGTTATTGTTGTACAACAAAATTCACACTTAATTAGTAACTTTTGATGGTTCCTAAGAATAATCTAAAATCAGGAGAGGCAAAGCCAATCCGACCTGGTCTAGAATTCCACACCAGGTCGTATTGGGAATGTGGGCACAGTCGAATATTTTAAGTAATATTTAAAAACATTTGTCTGCATCAGCTTATCCTTTAGCGGAATCGTTTGGCCAATGTTTCTTTTTTATGTTTTATTATTGCATGAGATTTTATTGTCAAGTGCCCTGGGACATTCTGCATTTAAAGCGTTCAATAACATCTAAATGTGTTGACATTTATACAGAACAACATGGAATCTTAAAATTACTATTTGGCCAACTTTCAAATTGCAACACATTTGAGGCTGGAGTAATCTTAAGGTGCAGGCAAGAAGACATGCAATGACCATAAAATGGGATTCAAGCCAACACAGTGGATGAGCCATGATTCGGTAAGCTGTCAAAGCCATATTTCGTCAAAAGGAAACTCCCTGAGACTGATGTGACACACACTGGGATGGAATGGCGTTTTCTCAGGTGCAAATGACTTCGGCAGTCACAAAAGATGAATGGAAAGTTTTTTCTCTCTCTCGAGTTTGCAATAGCAATCTTAGTCCTGCAGCTTAACGTTTTTAGCATCGTCACTTCAAAGCCGGATTTTACTTGCAGAACATTTTGTTCAAAAGAATGTAACTCTAACTTAAGAGCGGAGACAACAAATAAATAACCAACAATTGCATTTGTACTCGCGTCATTCTTATAGTACAAAGGCCACCAAAGATGCACTTTCGTTTTGCTTTGCAAACTTTACAGAACATTTCCATTTTGAGTCTACAGCAGAACTGGTACAGAGTCAGTGAAAAAGAACAAATAGTAGGCGGGACACTGCCAAACAACAAACAGACACTGCTTTTGCAGGAAAAGATTATATTGCAGACTGCCTTCTTTGTGAAGCACGTTAGTCATGTACAACGGAACTCTACATGCATCTATCTGTGTGCGATTGCTCACCACATCAACTAAGTGTGGCCATGTGGCACGGACCTCGGAAGGTTACGAGTTCCAATCCTAGTCAGTGTTCGACACCGGCTCTTGATCTCTCTGGGGTCGATAAAACGAGTACTGCTTTATAGGGAAGTCGAAAGTAGTTGTCCTATGGCATAGGACTGTGGAATGAGCACCACTATTGCAGGGCTATAAATAGGAAATGAGTGCCACCCAGCGCTAGTTGAGCAGGAATCCACTTTGACTTTGGGTGGTGATGATGGGCATTAATGTGGTATTTCGAAGATTCGGCTTGCAGAGGCCTCCATCCAGCAGAGGAGCAGAGAGATGGAGTGAGAGATGGAGTGAGACATGGGGCGACGAATCCAGCTTGTGTGCAGACAGCTGGTGGATTATTACATTGCAGGGGAGGAGCATACACTAGAAAGAGGTGGATGTGAAAGCAATAGGTGAGAAATGATCAGTCCAAGTCCAAGGTTGGGGGCATGAAGACAAAGTGAGCCAATTCAGAATAAATTTTTGGGTCAGATCGCCATGTGAGTAAAGTGTGTGTCGTGCACCCTCCTCCACCCGGCCAATCAATAAAGTTGTCACGCGAACAGACGTATGTGTGTTTTTATGTTGAACTTCTTGATTTGAAGCTTTCGTGACTGCAGGAGTCCATACTCTTTGGTTCTTTCGGTAAAGTCACGTAGGTAGTATGTAGTCAACCGTGCTAATCGGAGGTGCACATGTATTCCTGTTGGAGAGAAATCTCACGACATTTGAGAATTACTGTCCCCAAAAAAATCAATTATGAATGATAGTATTGTTTAAAAAAAGACTATATGTTAATGGCAGCGGGCTACTTTTAGGTGGAGGCATTACAGGATGAAATTGGAGAGAGAAGCAATCACATGAAGAGTTTTCATGGCTTGAGTGAGTATTCCTTGCCCAGATGTAAAGCTGGCAATGACAAATGCTAGCTGCCACAATAGGGACCTCAATCTCCATATACACAATAATACTGGCATGGGGGAATAGATTAATACCGCATTAAGTAGCAATTAATTTACATTCTATTCTTGTAGGGCGTGGATTCGGAATGGAATTACATTTCTGTGTCTGACTGGGAAATGTAAGAGGTTTTTACTCATGCCAAACACACAGGAAGCCACTCAAAATAATGAGCTTGCATTTCCAATCAAAGATTATGATGAAACGAATGAGTATTGTGCATAATATGCAACACAAACAATATTCATATGAAATTGCCTCCACCTTATATAATTATATCATAAACGTTTCAAGCATGATAATATCAGAGCAGAAAGAAAAACTTGGTACACGTGGGCTCGAAGGTTGATGATTTTTTGTCAATCAAAATGAAAATTTTCTGCAGTTGCTTATTACTAAAGCTGGGTTCAGATGTGAAGAATTGTCATTAATATCCACATCCAGCGGTGGATTGGAAAAAATGGTTGTACACGTGCAGTTACAAAAAAATGAATTCACAAAAAGCGGCTGTCGTGTTACATGCACTCTGTGTCCGTATAGGTATCATCCATTATTCATTTCAAATATATTATTCGACATAAGCTTGAGCTTGCGTGATAAAACTATACGTAGACACGTGGTAATTATTAAGTTTTCATTACACGAGTTTCGTCTCCCTTCAACCTCCCCTCCAATGTCCACCGCGGTGTCCGCTGCGACGCACGCCGTGCAGAGATTTGGGAGAGAATCTCTCGTGCGTTCCATTCAAACGCTTCTGGCACAACATGCTCCTGAAAATCACTCGGAGAGGTTTTTTCTTTCAAGCTGACGCTTCATCTTCCACAAACCCCCCCCACCCCCCCAAATTCGATCGTAGCAGTTCAAACTGCTGTCCCTAATTAAGCTTTTTAAAATAATGGACGACACCTTTATAGATACCCTGTATACATTAGAGTGACGAATCTTCCACGCCGCTGCACGTACCTTGCAAGCAATGCTCTGAAACCTATTCTATTTTTGGACATTGCTGTGTGCTGACCCAGACACGAGAGCTAGCGACATGACAGTGTAGTGCTTAACATTTGACACTGAACGCTGAAGGATAATGCTCATGTATATGTGAGAAAACCCATCAGTGACAGGATCTGAATGGCCGAGCTACATATGAGACATCTCTTGATTCAAACGAATTACTGTTCAGACCATGTAAACACGTGCAGATGTGCAAACTCACCCCGTGACCATTGCATTTGGTGTCACAGTTGCCCGTTTTTAAAATCGACACATTCTGGCAATGCCTGTTGTAGCAAATCTGCAAAAAAACAAGAAGAATAAAAATCACGTTAAGTTCACATTAACTTTGTAAAATGTAAAAATAAATTGGATTATGCAACTAAAAAGGGTTTCCATGGTATTTTTATGCATTGATAAAAAAAATAAGTGCTCATAAATTTGGAGATATCAAATGCCAGGATCACATTCATGCGACTACATGAGAGAATGGCATATATTGCATTATGTTGTCTCATTAAAGACTACAAACGAAGAGATAACAAACCAATTTGTCATAGAAGACCAAATACTGAGAGGCAATGACATAAACATCTGCGCACTGAAGCAGAGTTAGAATATTTTAACATCCCGTGATCTATCTACCAGGGACAACAGCCCATTTATTTATTTAAATTACAGAAAGAACCAAGAATAAGTCTACATTATCGACTGCCAGTACGCTCACTCAGTTTAATAACCATTGCTACAGTCTACATTATAGACTGCCAGTACGCTCATCGAGGTTTAGAACAAGGCTACAGTCTACATTATAGACTGCCAGTACACTCCCAGCTTAATAACCATTGCTACAGACATTACAGACTGCCAGTACTCACCAAATTTAATAACCAGGCTACAGTCTACATTATAGATAGCCAGTAAACTCACCCCGATTAAGAACCATGCTACAGTCTACATTAGTGTTTTTTTATTCACTTTATTTTTATGATTATTTTTTTATCTACGTGACTTTACCGAAAGAACCAAAGAATATGAATTCCTGCAGTCATAAAAAATGTCAGTCAAAATGCCAATTTAATTGATCTGCACAGACTCATGCAGCCCATGGCCAAGTAACCTGGAAACTTTCCCGATATCATCAAATCTTCGAAAGCTAAGAAGCATGCTTGAGAGCCTGGACACAGTGCTTTGGATGGGCGACCACCGTGTCCCATCAATAGGCACAGTGGCTGTTGTGGGCAGCAGAGGGCGGTGTGGCAACATCAATTGCCGTCCTACACTCCCCCTCGCCTTCACCAACTCGCGCCGACCAGCAGGGGACCGACAACAGGTTTGCAAACACGCGTGTGTGTAATATTGAGAAGACCTCACACGTAATTTAGTAACGTATTCGAGCGTAGCAACTAGCAAAACGTACTTGTGTGAAAGTACTACGTGAATACATTTACAACTAATTCAGAAACGTATTTTATTAAGAGCGTTCCAGCTTTTCCCCTCGGTGGTTGATTTTTTTGTACGTCTTGTTTGCGTCGCAATGTGCTTCGAGATCCTGTTAAATAATCCAAGGACAAAACTTATTCTTACGAGACATGTGCACGGATGAATGGATAAAGGCTGTTCTTATAACCCTGTGATGTGCCATGCAATAACACGACAAGGCCCCCAATTTCAAACAGGAACTTGTTGCCCTGTCCTTGCAAACTTCGGAAGGTCATTCCATTTGTCACGGGCACAATGCATCATTGTTCACAAGTGAGGTTTTCAGCAAGTGTAATACAGTACAGGAGAAGGGAAAACTGTTTTGGGGCAAATTCGACCAGCCTAAATAATTAGCGGGTGTGGTTTTATGGGCTCGTGCTATAAAAGAGGCAGAGTGTGAAGCAGGGAGAAGAGGAAGCCACAACGACAACAACTTTGGAGCAGCAGTAACAGCAGCAGCAGCATCGGAAGGGCTGGATGGATTTACTAGCCGTAAGTACTCAAATACTAGTGATTTCTTTGCCCCACCATACAGTATTATTGAGAAGTGTAGAGTGTTATTTTATGCATGAAAGAGGGCAGTGGGTTTTTTTTTCCCACCCTCTGCCATTTCTTGTGTAGCAGTCCGGGGCGGGAACAAGAACCCAGCCCAGGCATCTCGCCTTCTCATCAGGATGGCGAACAAGCTCTGGCCTGGGTTTCCCAGCTGAAGAGAAGTGGAGATGTGTGTGGGCTGTGTTGGTGCATTGCAAGCTGCGGCCAACTCACACTGCACTTCAGAGTCCGATGACCAAGGTGTCTGAATGAACTGGTGAAGTAGTAACCCGTTCTAGCTAGAGAGAACTGAGTTTACTGCAGTTCATGTGCAGAGTTGAGCTGCGCGAGGTGAACCCGTGTGTGGGAAATTAACTAAACCCGGACGTGGTTCAAGTGTGGATGGTTAAGTTACTTGTGGGTGGCAGGAGTGATTCCTGTTATGCGAGCGCAGACTGTGTGTGGTGTCTCGAAATGGTGTGATGCTCACGGTACAGACGCAATGGGTGAGAAGCGACTGCACAACCCGCATGGTGTGAGGTTATCGCCAGGTGACCTTGGGTGTGCCACAGGTGAATTGTAATAGTACCAGCCTATTGATTGCAATTGCCTGAACAGTGATGTGTTGGGGTTGCATAATAGCATCGGCGTGGTTGAGGGTGAACCCGTATGGTAAATGCTTACCGATCGCATCGTGACTTATTGAAAGCGTGGATGTGTCAGGTGTGCATTGGATCAGAGGAAGAGGGGGGGTGACATGTAAATAGTGTTAATTCTAGATTTTAAGCTTTCGTGACTGCAAGGATTCATATTCTTAGTTCTTTCGGTAAAGTCACGTAGGTAAAAAATGAAATAAAAATTAATAAAAAAAATAATTTTAATTTCATTTTTTACCTACGTGACTTTACCGAAAGAACTAAGAGTATGTAAATAGTGTGTTTTGGAGGTGTGTGTGTGGCATCAGAGGGGCGCTGTGGCACATATCCCCTACTGCGTGTGCATATCACCTGGCAAACAAAGCGAGAGTTGCTTTGGCCCCTAGAAGACTGTGTGTGTCACTTGCTGTCTACACGTTTCTGTGTACTGCCGCGTGGCCTGCACTATGCCTCACCACAGTGGACATTATATAAATCGTATTGTGACGCCAGAAACGGACCCAACATCGCACCATACCACAATGGTCACCACGCGTCCTCATTCGGCACAATACAGTACACAATTCCAGAACACACAAGAAAAACCTACAGTCCCAAGTAAACTATTCTTAACTTAACACATCTGATGGAAAGAACTCAGCGATTTCTCACACAAACCTGACTTAGAGCTCTATTTGCCCACTGCACTCTCTAATAACCCCACAATTTTCAACTCTGCGTGGAGGAAAACACGATCAGGGGTGGTGGTGGGGGGTGGGGTGGGGGCATCATAATGCAGCTTCGACCCCACCTTGCCCTCGCCGCACTTGGTGCCGGTAAGAACCAAGCCCGGGTCGAGCATGTCGTCCCCCAGGTAAACGTGCGTGCCGCGGCATAGCACCGTGCCGCCGCCCGGCACGGCGATGTTGGTGTCGATGCTGACGGCGTTGGTGCCGATGACGGGTCTTGCCGAGCCGCCCTGGCACTGGATTTTTCCACACTTCACGTCGCTGCCAAGGAAGGGAATTCGGGTGTGAGCAGCGACACGAAAATATGGCAGGGAAATACGGCACGTGCCGAGTGCTGCCCTGCAGGGAATGGGCAATTACGTTGCACGTGTCGAAAAGCAGGAGACTGCATTGTCCTCGCCCAGTGCTGAGTTGGAAGTTGAAATCGCTTTTTTTGGTGTTTGAATCTGATATAAAGTGCAGTGACATTATTGCTCCCCAATTATCAAATTTTGACTGTTCCCACGGTATAATAACATGCGGATGCTTTGGTTAGTGGCAAGATGTGTGAATTATGTTGTGTTAATGGCAGGAAATTTAAGCCATGTGCCAATTAAATGATGTCAAAGTGTAAATTGAAGCCAGCGGTCATAACTGGCAGATGGTTCATGTAAAAACATAATTTGGGGTGTTTTAATTACCCAGCAAACAATCTTTTCTCAAAATTGTACTTTTGAAACTTAAGAAGGTCATAAAGTAAATTGTCGACATAAGTGTGGCCAATTAAAATGCATGTTTAAAATAAAGCTCCGAATTGATAACTGGTATTGGAAATAAACTAATTGGACAACGGTTACAATTATGTTTATTTTTCAATTTAAAGCTTTCGTGGCTGCATGGATTCATCTTCTTGGTTCTTTCGGTAAAGTCACGTAGAAGGGAAATAATAAAATAATAAAAATAAAACACAATAAAATACAATTCTCACGACGTTTCGGCCACAACGCAAGCAGCCGTCCTCAGGTGAAGAACAGGGCTGTCGGAAAGACAGCGTCTGAATAAACTTATTATTTCCCTTCTACGTGACTTTACCGAAAGAACCAAGAAAAAGAATTCTGTTAATTTTCTACTAACAAAGAAATGCTTTGTGAGCATACTTTTCAGCTCCCTCCATGAAGAAGGCGGCAAGTCATACTCGCTTGTCCGGTCAACGCCTCACCGAATGCTCCACCAATTTCAATGACTGAGGTGTCACTGGGAAGCTGGTGACATGCACACGATATGTTGTCTCATCAGCCCCCATAGTACTGCTTATATTTTCTACCATTTATTATAGCATGGTGGATTAGGTGAGCCCTGTTAAGAATTATGTATGTATGTATGTTGAACTTCTTTCGCACCGTATGTAGCCAACCGTGCTAATCAGTTGGTTACGCACGGTACGATTGTCCCTCACCCCTCTCTGTTGTATAACAGATAGGGGGGGGGGGAGTGGGTGAAACATCACTGGGCCCTGAAAGTAATGTTTCAGTTTAATCTGAACGGGCCTTCCCACTCGTAACATGTGCGTAGCAATTGTGTCTTTTGTCAAAGTTATACCGAGCAACAGCACACTTGTTGTGATGAGGGCAACAACTGTGACATGCCTAGCAGGCATCTTATCTGATTGTTATTTGACAAACAGGCAGCCAGTACAAATGTTGTGCTTCTCTTTGTGGAATTGTGTTATTGTTGGAATTGGTATCGCGGTGTATCCTGTAGTTTATCACACTGTATGGCACCTGGCCTTGCATTTCATGTAGACGGCCTTGGAGTCCTTCCCACAGTTCCCGTACTGGTCTCCGGCTGAGTTCACGTTGGCAAAGCATATTTCTGGAGCAGGTTTTGAGCCTAAAAACAATAACAAAGGCATTACATTTGCTCGCCAAGATTAGGCTGGAGGTTCAAGTTGGCCAGTTTGGCCTACCTCGAACGGAAACAGAAATGCGGCTTCGTATAAATACAGAATAGCCATGCAATGAATAAACTTGCCTACGTATGTGTACATAGATAACGGTATCCTGTCATTGTGCAACGGTTAGCACGCTGGTCTTGCAATACAGAGGTCGCAAACGGGTTTTGATTCCTTACCCGTACCCGTACCCGGCCGCACCAGGGTCGCAAACGGGTACCCGTACCCATACCCGGCCGGGTACGGGTAGCCAGGTATCGGGTAGGGTATGGGTATCGGGTACCCGGTTGCGACCTCTGCTTGCAATACAGAGGTCGCCGGTTCGATCTCTGGCGCGTTGAAGCAATGGGGCAGGTTTCTTAAATCCCATCACCTCTGTCCACCCGGCAGTATAAATAGGTAGGCAGCAGTTAGTCATGCGGCATGTCGAATGTGGTGGAGGTAAAGTGTTGGTACTCCCAACATCTAGAGGGGTTCTATAGAGCTCCCCCCTCCTCGTGGGGAGCGTTCTTCAGGCAGCGGTCTAAGCAAGAAATTGCAGGGCTGCACCTTTACCTTCCACATAAATACTACGTCAAGATAAACCAGCGTGTGACTCTTCACATTGACAGAAGCCTCCAGAATCACAAAAAGCAAGTTACTAAGGAATGAAAAAATGTTACAAGCTGCAAAATAACATCTGCTTATTATCAGAACATAAGTGACACCTCGCCATATTTCCATGTTGTTGCAAAGTTGTTTAATTTTAGTTCCATGTATTGTCAGCCACGTTAAGACCCCAAGTGGGTGCCCTTCACAAACACCTATTTCACAACCGTGTTTTTCAGAGTTTAAAATATACAAGCACAGGTCAAACAATTGGCAAGATGTATGTTTATTTTACGGCTGTTCTCTATCCTTATCCACTACCAGTCCAAACAAATCAGACATCCGTACACCACTTGGAATAAAGAATAACCCAATTTGTATGAAATAAACATATGGTCACCATTCTTGCCTCACACTGGAAAATAACAGACACCAACGATCACAGTTAAAATGCACTCCCATGGGTAATAGTCATCTCTGCCAGATGCCCTCTATAGCCTGCACTGACTGCTGGGGCAAGTGCTGTAGGCAAGTGCTGTTGGCAAGCACCGATGAAAGCTGGCAGAACACTCGAGGGGGTTTCATTTGGCCAGTTTCACGTTTGGCCCCCTTTATCTGTCCAGTGCTAATCTTTACAAGACACCATCAAGATACCTCTTCACGACTAAGTCGACATATGGCTGGCCCAGAATAAGTTAATGCAACGAGCCACGGTTGCTAGGCTCATCGTACTTTGCCATTACACTAAGACTCCCCACATCCACACCACTCCCCTGTTGTAACAAGTGCTGTTAACAACCACCTATTAAGGCCGGCAGGGCACACGAGGGGGTGGGTGGCCAGTACCACACCTGGCTGCCTTTGTGTCCGCGATGCTGATGTTTACACACCAAGTCCTAATTTAGGGCCGAGTCGACCTAAACAAGGTAATCAGTGTTGGCTATGAGAGAGAATCGGTCTCGGGTCATTGGGTTCATAGTGCAGCACGCTAACCATGAAACTACCACTTCCCACACCCATACAACAACCGCCATTCGCCACTCAGTGGTGGTGACTTAACCACGGTTCTTGTGCCACGTTAAGTGTCTAAGGCTCTCCAGCAGGAGATTCCTTGGGCAGACTCAGGTACCACGGATTGACTGACGGAGATGACTGGCAGATGCACCACCTGTGCCACCCGCTTTGCCAACTCGTGTTTTAGCCGACCAGTGCTCCGCGATCTTGTTGTGGGTATCTTTCCCTTACCCTCCACTGTTGTTGGAGGGCGACTACCTCCAACTACCCAATAGTGTCCTTCACGAGGCTCCTCCACAGAGGGTAATCTTGACACTGTTGGTACCCGTCACCTCCAAGTCCAATCAGCTCCCCATCCTTCTATACCACATCAGTGCATCACTTCTCTAGCCCATGAGTCACCCCCGTTTAGCCGCCTCTGTCCGGCCAGTCAGAATCTCTTTGGGCATGCGGTGGCTGGGAATGTGGGCTACATGACCCAGCCAATGGAGCCTCGCCTGCCAGAGGAGCTCACTATTGTGTGTCCAGATCACATGCATACAAAAACAAATGTCCCCAATATAGCCTGAACATACTGTTGGGGCAAGTGCTGTTAGCGAGCACCTATGAAGGCTGGCATGGCACACGAGGGGGTGCGTGGCCAGCACCACGCCCGGCCTCCTTTGTCTCCCCAGTAGCGATGTTTACACACTGCCACCAGGTACTCATTTGAGGTTGAGTCGACCTAGGGGAAGCCCAGTACCAGTTCAGATAATCCTCACTTGTGTCGGCAGTGGGAATCAAACACGGGTCGCCTGGTTCGTAGTGCAGCGCGCGAACCGCTACACTCCCGCCCCCTCTATCACACAAAGATACAAGATCCCCCGTATAGCCTTAACAGACTGTAGGGGCAAGTGGTGTTAGCGAGCACCTATGAAAGCCGGAACGGCACACGAGAGGGTGGGTGGCCAGCACCACGCCCGACCGCCTTTGTCTCCCTAGTAGCAATGTTTACACAGCGCACCAGGTACTCATTTGAGGCTGAGTCGACCTAGGGGAGGCCCAGGACCGGTTCAGATAATCGTCACTGGTGTTGGCCGTGAGCGGGAATCGACCTCGTGTCGCTGGGTTCATAGCGCAGTGCGCTAACCGCTACACTATCTCACACACACATACACACACACATTCATCCCATACCTGAACCCCACAGTGTGACACACTGTTGCTCGTGGGTGAGGCACATGCCGTTGTAGCAATATGCCTCCTTGCCATGGCACGGGTAACCGTCCAGCAGGTACACGTTGGGTGGACAGTGGGGCGACCCTCCATTGCAGTACTCGGGCAGGTCACAGGTGTTGGTGGGGTCACGACACCGGGTCCCGGATGGCTTCAGCTGCGAATGCCAAAAAGAAAACGAGACAGCAAAAATCATGCATGCGCGTGGATTCCGTAATGCTTTCCAGCATGTGTTTTGTCCTCGGAAGCATGTCATTATTTAATTACTAGTATGGCAGAGGCGGATATATAAACTTCCTGGGGGGGGGGGGGGTGCAGTTTTGAAATGTCAAGGTTTCTAAACAGGGCTCTACGTTAATAATAATAAAATAAATATGATCAAATAAAATACAAACTCAATGTACTTTAGATGGTGAACAGAAGTAAAATACCAATTTTGAGGGTGGCAAGGGGGCGATAGCCTCTTTAGATCTACGACTGCAGTACGGAAGCTGATGAGTAGCAGTCAGGGCAAATCGCATACATATTTGCACATAATCCCTTTTTGGTTTGGTTTTTGTTTCCTAGTTTTATGCAACTCCTTTGATACATTTGGCCAATTTCTTTTAGGGTAAGTCTCTCATAGCAAGACAAATTAATATTATAGTTTTATTCTGATTTCATCATTTCTTGATTTTAAGCTTTCGTGACTGCAGGAATACATACTCTTTGGTTCTTTCGGTAAGTCACGTAGGTAGAAATAAAACAAAAGAAATCACGACGTTTCGATAGCAACACAAGCCATCGTCTTTAGGTGAAACTCGCGACAGCCGCGATGTCTGCTGCGAGCAGCATGTTGCCTGCTGCCATTGTTACAAGAGTTATCTTGACCCCATGTTACAGGCAGGCAAACAGACGAAAGGAGCTAATGCACTGATGCTTTCACCCTTAGTTCGAATAAACACAAGCAGGGATAACAATGTGTGTCGTTAATAAGCAGGGTAACATTTCCCGGTATTATTTTTCAAAGCCGGTCACTTGGAGCTAGGACCAGAACATTTGGATCCACACTCCACCAATAAACGAACAGTTTGTGTTGGTTTTGTGCAAACATGTAACGCTCAAGAAATTATCAAACTCTGGCTGGCGCGAGCATTAACCGCAAGGGCGTACGCTGATTATGTTATGTTCACAGTCTATAAAGGCATAGACTTACTGTTGGAACATAGCTTCAGACTGACCAGTTTTATGGTACATCGCTGGTCTTAGTTCTTTCAAATAAAGCAATCGCATGGGCCTTTTCATACTGGAGAATGCCATTTAGATTGATAGCATGTCCTGGACATGTCATTATGGAACACACACCAGTGAGATGCGATACCAATGCAGTGAATAATATATTTGAGGCTAGCTGTCAATGTCTCTGTAACATTGAAATAACCCTTGCTTTTTTGTTAATATAAAACAATACCGTAAGGTATAACACAACATTAATCAAACACTCTATTAAATAATAACAGGTTCAAAGCGCAGTGTGCAAGTCATTGTGCTACTGGTCCGACCCACTTTGATTGAATGCTACAACACAATTTTAAAAAAATAAATCCAGGCTTCTTAAAATAATTGAGCCTTTGTAAATTATGCAAAAAACCATTCGCATTTCCTCAAAAAGTGCATTGTGGTCCTCTCTTCTGAGGCCACCATCAAAATGAATGTCATAAAATATGACCAACTGACAGCAGCAGAGGTGATGCAGTGAGGACAACTGTGGACCAGTTTCGTTATCCTTAGGACTCATCAGCACAGCATCGTCACCAATTCTCACCGCTGCAAAGTTAACCTCTGGGAACCATATATGTGGAGTTCCCACTTCCACACTATGGGACCCATTAGTATGGCTAATGCCAACAACAATCACATTTGTTAGTGAGGATAAAGTCGGTCGCGTTTGCTCAAAATTAACAGACTTTGCAGCAGGATTTGTAATAAAGTTTTTTTTAATGAATGCTAGAGACAGTTTCGTCTCCTTAATTGACTTTGATTCCACAGGGATCTCAAGACTCTCTGATCTCTGTGTTAAGGAATCATAGATTGTGCAAAGGCATACAGTATTTTATCCTTCAATGTCAAGCTGCCCTGGAACACAGTTATTATTTCCCCTCTCAACTGAAAAATTGGAACTCTTACATGTATTCTTTTCTTACAGGCTAAATGAGAGTACTTTGAATGTCCCAGAGGCCAATTTTACAATTAATTACAAATGCCTCATCACTCATAATTGACTGAAACAAGCCAATATCAAGCCCTTTTGGTCACATTTATATTCACAAACGCAATTACGATATGTAAAGAAATTAAACAAAGAACATTACATTACAGTTCATTTCTTTTATGTTACAGAATTTTTTTTTTCAAAAATGAAAAGACCAAAATTGTGTAATAAAAAAAACAAGATGTGGTCCGTGTGTTCTGATGCTGGGTTGAATGTCGTTGCATTTTAAAATGGATCAATATGAAGGGAACTGGTATTTATAGTATTACATATGCTTTTTTGGTTATGTATATTTGACAATTACATTTTGGTTCCACTTTGGCTCCCACTTCCGTTGAAAATGTGGTTCAAACGCATCTAATTTCTGGTTAACCAACATGCATCGAAAAGGTTCATTATCCACCGCGGAATGGCTATAACTTCACAAAGCGAATGTTTCAGAATATCTGTAGTTTTTCAGTTGGGATATCTCATTACCATCAATTTATATACAGACAATTTGCTTGCAGAGTGTTTTTCAAAGTTCATTACACCAACCAAAAAAATTGCTGCACATTTCTAGAGGATGTGAATTATGTGAAATCCTACGTATTAAAAGTACAATTTTGCGAGCATGTAAATCTGTCGAATATCTCGGTACCATCGAGGTATTGTTTGTAAACAACAACAACAACAAAAATGCGATAAATAACGTAGAAGCCTGATATTTATGGACGGGTGCCCAAATGAACGGCAGATAATGCATGCATGATTTTAACTTTAGTTAAAAATTGTAAAATATAAAATGCCATGTGGTTTAATGAAAATGCCACTAAATTATCCAGAGCAAAGGAAATTGAACAATAAAGCTGTTAAAAGGGTCCCAGTCTATCAGATGTTGACTTATCTCTAATAAACATGTTTCATTTTTTTTAAGTGACAAAATGTAAACCGAAATAATTATTTTGCATGTGTCCCACATCACCACGAATCGTAAACCCTAACTGTAAATGTCGAAGAACATCCACGATGTTCAGACTGCCCGAGTAAAGGATGAGTTGAATAACAACAAAAAACACAGAATCAGAGGAAATCAGTTCATGGTCATGAAAAGCTCACCGATTGCACACGGGAGACAGGGAGAATTGTGGCTGGGACAGAGACATTTTGGTCACGTGTACAATGGGCAACGTGTATATGGGTAACAGTGCCAGAATTGTTTGTTGATGCTGCTGCTGCTGCTGGGAAACGTTGATGGAATTTGTCTGAAATGAAACTGATCTTTACAATGGGAACCAAGAAAAGGTGGCACGATTCATGCCTCCCACCTCCCCCAAACACCCTGCCCAACTCCCACTGTGAATTGTCGCGATTGAGGACGGTGATTTCATTCAATACAAAGGAATATGGAAATGAGGATTCATGCAAGCGTCTAAAATGTAACCGTATCTCAAGATGTCGCACCGACACGGCGTGCGAATTTATTTGAAGATAAAAACAGTCACTGGTGGAAAAATGTAATGTTTTTAGTCTGTACTGGGGGACAGGGACTTCCAGACTCTTGGGGGGAGGGGAGAATGAGCAACCTCCCACGAAGCAGAGGTTATAACTGAACTTCTACAGAAGCTCTTTGGTTGTAGAAGCGGGGAGTGCGATGGGAGATGAGAGATGGGCAGGGGCGAGTCCATGGAGGATATTTAAGATGGTGAGTGCGATCTTCGAATGGATCTTAGATTGAATTGGGAGCAAGTGAAGGGATTGAGTACAAGGGGTTGATGCAGTCTCATTTGCAGGTGAGGAGTCTGGCAGCTGCCTTTTGATTTAGTAATCTAAACCCATTACGTAGAACACATGAATCGAAAAACATCAATGTTTGCACGCACAATACAATGCACGTATTCTGAGTATTAGAATTGATATTCATTCGATACAGCAATGCATTCTTGCTCATTTACAGAGTAGTTTGTCTTAGATTATAAACATAAAACATGCATCATGTTTACAAAAAAAAATCTATAAATCTGCAGTCACTATTGATACATTTCACGTGAGCACACCGCTTTGTTTCAATAAAAGCGCAAGGGTGCAGCCTTGCAATTGCTCACTCACACCACTGCTGGCAGAACAGCGTGCACTCGCGGGAGCTCTCGAGCACCCGTTAGTGTAGCCGTGCTCTATTACGCGACCGCTGCGCTGTGCGTAATGTTAAAGGTCACATTTGGGTCCACGATTAACTTTATAAACAGCACATTTTACGAAGTGCATTCGCCACCATTCAGAAACAACATACCATAGCGCATTCCGTAAACACGCCGCTGGCTACTAACTAGTATAACAGTAACACGGGTCAGTGACTGGGTATTTTAATCCGAGAAATGTTGTAAACTCCAATGTGCAACACTATAAATTTCCCCTACCATGGGTACACATGCGTGGATACTGAATTTGGAGAAGTTGGATTTAATTTGAACACGGCCATCGAACCTCCAATGCCACGATCAGCCTACGACAAAAGTTGCATGCTTAAGCTCAGGCTCGCCAACTTGCGTAGGATATGCACACGCATGCAGACTAAATTAGTAATGACAGGGTACAGTATATTGAGACATCATGATAGCGCACATTGCCCTCAACCTTTGCTATGCAGAGAAATTCAAATGTTCTCTCACGCGTGGCAAAAAAGTAGAAGTTTGATGAAATATTTTCAATCGTGCGATTTTTTTATTCTTCCAGGAAGAATCGTGTATTAATGTTCGGCGACACCTCCGACCTCGAGTACAGCTCACTTCGGCACGAGGCACCAGGGGCCAAGGATGGTTCTTAATTAACATCTCTCTATTCTTATTTGATCATTATTTTGTCACCGTTAATCTCAAACAATCCTCTCATTTTTATTTGAAAACCAAATAACAATACAAATATATATT